GGAGAGTCTCCTCTATTCACTGAAGGAATTAATGTATTTTTGAGCAATAGAAGCACCTGTAAAGACTAAATGTTAGATTTATATGTTTAATGTCATATCATGGAACATGCCAGGGAAAGCAATAACATCTATGGAGACAAGAAAGCAGCTGACCCTCCTCTGGAAAAGTTGAACCATGCACCTTTAAGAAAAGAACAGAAAAAAAACAAATTATATACAATTATGTAAGAGATAGCAGAGATGTTTTTCAAAGGGTTTCGGTGATTGCAGTATTGTTGTATAGTATCTCTTTGCTCCTTCCTTATCCGATAACTGCATTTCAGTGAGTACTTCCTGCTTGTACATCTATATGTCTTAATGTAAGTCACATGCAGAAGGCTTTGTACCATTCAGACCTTTTCTCCCACTGTTCCTGTCCTCTCCGCTGTTTGTTTATATGCAGTAAACAGAAGGAGCTCAGAGCTAAATTAGCGTAGCAGCCCTATGACTCATTCATACAGAGACGTGTCTGGTTCTCCCATTGTTTATGTATTCATGCTGCACCATCTGTCAAATATTGTTTTCTTCCCATTATGTACCATTTTGGCTTAAATGTCAATCAAATTATGTTGTATGTAAAAAATAAGCAGGATTCTATCAGCGAGTGTAACTCAAGATAGATACAGATATATTCATAGTTATGTGAAGTAAGTCAACTGCAGATCTACCTATATGTTGTTGTTGTTGTTTTTTTCATGACCGATGCTGATGCCGATATTTTGAATCTTTTGCAAATTATGTCATTTTAATTTATGGCAGTCCCAGTGTATCATAAACCTTCAAGAGATCATTTTGAGCAGTTATCTTTTTGCATTTAAGTGGTTAAATAAAGCTCTTTAGGAAGCAGGTCGGCCAAAACAAAAACATCGACCTGTGCTGAAGATTTAAGGCTGATAGCTGATTCACTAAAAAGTCTCTAAAGTCAGCTAAATGTAGGTAAGGAACAGGATTTAAAGCAAACAGCTAATCTCTCCAAAGAATTAAGGTTTCTGCCAGTGTTCAGTGTTCATAAATAGATTCAAAGTTGGCTTCAAATTTGTTGCAACTTTCAAAAAATCTAACTGTTAAGATCTGGTTAATAAAAGTGTATAACTATAAGCTATATAAACATGCTTTATAAACATGTAAACTAGTGCTATAGGTTTTAATTTACTGTCCATAAACTCACGTGAAATCATAATTGTACTATTATTCTGTCAAAGATGAGGATATTCTTCACAGCGACACATCTGAGATTTTAAGATGAGCTTGAATTTTAACAAAAAATTGAGAAACTTATGATGACTGTTCCTAAAAAGTGCAGAAAGACATTGAGAAAACTGTGCAGACAAGACAAAATAATGTTATTATGATATTTACAGACAGTGGACAGCATATTAAGACCTATTACGGAAATGACTTTTGCGAGCTTTTAACCATATTATAATTGTTTCCCTTCTCATTTACCCACTCAAAATTGTATTTAGAGTAAATCATGCCTGTTTGAGTAATCTTGAAGTAAACTTGTGAATCCAATCGGTAACATTTCAATAACACACTTTTCTTTTGAAAATTCTAAGTTTGAATTTTCCTTTTAAACTTCACAGTCATTATTTGACTTTTTCCAGTCTGGATCCTCGATATACCTTGGAGCCCGTAATTGGCCCATATCCAGGGTTGTCTTAAGCAATCATTTAGCCTGGTTTGAAGCGCACAGGGGCATTTATATGGGCACACACAGAGACGGGGCAGTGACGGGTGGTTAGACTTTGCCTGTGCTCGGTTGAACAGAATGGGGCCGTAGAGATGATCCATGGGTGATTATGTCTCTGCTAATGGGACATCATTTCACACTTAGCTGCTCAAGACAGAGAGAGGTAGGACTTCACTATCAAACTGCCTCTCTCTGCAAAAAAAGGGAAATCTAGTAAATCACGAACTTGATTTTAAAGCTGCACTGTGTAGCTTTTCGAGTTACAGGTCAGGTCTGTGGAAAGACGACCTGCTTAGAATAAGAAAGCGTGTTTTCAAGGCATTTTCAAAGAGCTCATATTATGCTATTTTCTGATCTATGTTCTAATGTTGTGGAGCTGTGTTTTGTTTCATTCTGATTGACACAGAATACGCTCCACTGTGTTTTTAAACTCCATACACCTTCACTAGAACCATTTGGATGATTTCAGTCCTAGATGAAATTGCCCATCTCTTCTGACCTAAAGATAAAGTACCGTATTTTCTGGACTATTAAGCGCACCTGAATATACGTCACATCAACAAAATTTTAACTAAATTTTTAAATTGTACATATATAGGCCGCACTTGAATATAAGCTGCAGGTGTCCACGTTTTTGTTTTCATGTTCGGGTCGTCTGCTTTTATCGCCTCTGAAAACTTTTGTCGTCTTTTTGCATTGAGTCAGTTCGTCACTCTGCCGTCACCAAAATCTCACCATCGACTCATTGATGCCGAGTTCACGTGCAGCAGCTCTGTTTCCTTCTTTCACAGCCACGTTAGTCACATTTAACTTAAAGGCTGCATTCTCTGCATTTCTTTGTGTGTTTTCCGTGAGGAGGGTGTGTGTATGAAGAGCAAAATAACTGTTCAAAACACAATCAAACTAGAATTTTCCATGATGCATCACACCATCTCTCCCTGTGCTCTACTGCGCATGTCTCCTGCAGAAAGAGCCACTGTCCTGTCTGTATCATGTCAGCGTCTTGTAGGATTTCAGCAGATTTCAGACTCTCTCGGGGGCGGGGTTAGTTCTATCAGTCAGGTATGATTGGATGTCCGGCTATTGAAGTTTGAGACGTTTCTTCTTGTCATTGTTAATTTAGCATCACAACTTATTTTATCACATGACGATAAACTATTTGAGTGCGCTGACAGTATCGCGAGCTAGTGTAGCAACTTCATGTTAACCCTAGATCCATGTGTAACCGCACAAACAGCGGTGTTTTCTGCACTCAGGCTGCGCATATCCACAGTGTTGCCAAACCATAGACCATATATATGAATGGACAATGTGCCAAACAAAGAATCCGTCCATTTTATTAGCCGCAGGGTTCAAAGTGTGAGAAAAAAGTAGTGGCTTATAGATCCGAAATTACGGTATAGCTGTTAACTTGAAAAATACAGCTTCATAACATCACAAGGTGGAACAGAGCCTTAGGATTTTGAGTTTTGGAGATGCAGACAGACTAATAATCCAGGATTACTCAAACATGTGTACGTAAATGAAACAAAACACAACTCCAGGTATGTTTTTGAGGTGGTAGCAACATTATAACATGGTTTAAAGCTCACAGGAGTCAATTTTGCGTAATATAGCATCTTTAATATTTGCAAGTTGAACAGTTTATGTATCACTTTTGGCGTAATATACTGTAATTGGAAGAAAGATGCATACAAATCCATAATTATTTGCTGCGGTTGTTTACTAACAAGGCTAACAAACCACTCTAAACCAATGCTGTCAAAACATAACCTAGAGAACAGACAGTACATTATGCATTTTCTGAGCTCAGAGGCAACAGTGTGAAGGCTGTGGCTCATCTCAAATGCTTTCTTTCTTTGCAGACATTCACTAGTGTTTCATATGTCCCCAGAAGTTGTTTCTATGATTAATTTATTCTGTGGTTTTCAGATGGTCTGAGGGAGGCTCTGCTAGAATCACAAGCTTTCACAACAAGGACGAATAAGTCTCAGATCCCTCCAGCTTTGAATATATGGATCTATGTGTCTGTATCTGTTAACACACTGTACTGTATGGTATAGTTAAGATAGCGTTAAACAACTGGAAAACAAAATAAGTTGAATGTTAAAGGTCCTATGACAATGAGCTTTAAGCCATGTTATAATGGTTTTACCTCACCAAAAACATACCTGGATTTGTGTTTTGTTTCATTCACTCACCCTGCATTATTAGTTTGTCTATTTTGTGATGTCCAGTTAACAGCCTCCTTTTACCTTTAGTTCAGTAGAGTTTGAAAACACAGTGGAGCTCACCCTTTATTACCACATGAGAGAAGAGCTCATCCCTAATATGCAGGGTTTGTGTGTTAAACATGTGTGAATGTAACAAAACTCCAGGTATGTTTTTGATGAGGGAACAACATTATTAGCCTGATTCATCAGACGATTTCACTTCGTAGAAACTGTCTGACCTCGCAGCATTAGGATTCATTCGCTTGATGGTAGGCGGGTACTTTTTTTAATTTAACCAATCGCTGCTATTTGGTCGTTGACGTATCTAACGGGACTAACCGCTATATTAAGCTTTTCCCAAATCCCGTAGGAAGAAGGGCAATAACGTCTTTCCCCTCACCAAACATTCTCTTTGTTCCGGCTTAAATCCTTGATCTCAGAAATCGTTGCCAACACAAAATGTACGGTTTCATCTACATTTACCTCAACCGCTTTGTTTACTGTTGTGCTGTACCACAAAAGGGACCCAGACAGGCGCTTGAGTTTGACGTCATGGCTTCACAGCTCTTCACTTTGACTGGCCAGTGTGCGGTCTACAACTTCTGGGATTCTTGCAAACCATGTAGTGTATTCTGATTCCTGACCTAGTCGCTGGAGAGAAATTAAATTGAGCGGAGGCACTAGGTGGCTTATAATTTTGCTTAGAAAATTGCGTAATGTGGGCCCTTTACGTCCAGGTGATATGACATAAAATTTCCTTGAAAACCACTGAGCCACTTCTTTTCTCCACCCACTTCTCCTCATCAGGTCGACTTAACCAATCACAGTGAAGCACGGAGTGAAAGAAGACTGTTGATCTCAGCAATGCAAAGTGAACATTAAAACTTTAACTGCATTTCATTTGGAACTAACCTAGGAATAAACCCAGGACGAAACCTGGACTAGACCAGGACCAAGTGTGCATTCCAATTATAATTAAACTGTGATCTTGACTTTAAAGAAATGTGATATTAATGATTTTGGGCATTTACTAATAATCTTATTTTGTCTTTCAGAATTTCTCCCGGGTGAAGATGCAGGTCACCATGTCTCTGGCGTCTCTCGTGGGACAATCCTCAGACTTCCAGGAGGAGCATTTACGGCGTTCACTCCGCACCATCTTGGCCTATGCAGAGGAGGACTCAGAGATGCAGAATACACAGCTACCCTCTCAGGTTGGGCTCCACGAATTGGCAAATATATCTAATTGCAGTTTTTCTGATAAGCAGTTTGGTTAGATTTGCAATTTCTGTTTTAATAATACGATTCTGAGTTCAGATATTAAACATATCCAGAAGAATTGACAAAAAGACTGAAATAGGAACTGACAAACTAATACAAGAATCTCATTTCAGAACAGTTTTGTGCAGATCTAAACTAGCGGTTAGCAGATTTTATGTAGAATAAGACAGGGTATACCTATGGGTACCTCAACCTTTATTTTGTTATTTGTGAAGAAAATGCCACCTTTACGATTTCCTTTCAAATTGTGATTTTGATTGCATTACACTGAATTTTCAGGCCTACTCACTGGCACAAAAACACTTCTGTAAAAATATATAATAAATGGATTTGTTTGACTTTTATATTATAATTTTCTGCCTCTGATTGTAGGTGGATGAGCTGCTAAGGAACCTGAACAGTATTTTGTCAGACACTGTCAAAATGAGAGAATTTCAAGAAGACCCTGAGATGTTGATGGATCTCATGTACAGGTATGTAACAGGGGTCTACAAAAGCAAGATGTCATACAAATCTATACTATATTTCTGTATGTACGAAACAAATTGTGTGCTATCTTAAAGGTCCTCTATGCAAAACTGACTCTTGTGAGCTTTAAGCCATGTTAGAATCTTGTTTTATCTCCTCAAAAACAAAACCTTGAGTTGTGTTTTGTTTCATTCACACATCTACAGTACATCTCCAAAGCTCAAAATGCTTCTGCACCACTTTAGACACAACAAAATCCAGGCACTCCAAAGAAGTGAAAATCGCACAAGGAAAAATACAGTCAAAAGGCCTTTATTTAGAGGGCCAAAGCCAACATGTTTTGACCAAATTGGTCTTCATCAGGGCTTTTGCTCTGCTCTGTTCCACCTTGTGATGTCATGTAGTGGTCGTTTTCAACTTAACAGCTGCTTTTTACCTTTTGTTCTGTAGAGATTGTCAATCCCAGGGCTCAAATGTGATTTTAGTAGAGAGTAGGAGTTTAAAAACGCAGTTAATACTTCCTGTATTAATAATAGTAATAATAATGCATCAGTTTTATATAGCGCTTTTCTGACCACCCAAAGACGCTTTACAGTGTGTTATTCATTCACTCTGTATTCAGTGGTGGTAAACTACTAACGTAATCGCAGTTGCTCTGGGGTAAACTCATGGAAGTGAGGCTGCCAATCTGCGCCATCGGCTCCTCTGTCCACTACCATCACTCACACACACTCCACTTTCATACTAGGCAATGAAGGTGAAGTGCCTTGCCTAAGGACACGACAATAGTTTTTGCGACTGGTGCCTCCTTATGCCACCTGATTTTCCCAGCGGTCTCTCATCCAAGTACTAACCAGACCCGGCCTTGCTTAGCTGACAGAAGTGAGAAGTTTGTGTGAATGAAACAAAACCCAACTCCAGTATATTTGTGATAAGAAAACAACATTATAACATAGACCAGATTTTTTTAAAAATGGACTATGTAACTTGTCTTGTGAGTATCTACACACATGTATTGTTATTTTATCCGGTAAACATTTTAAATCTTACTTCCAAATCATACTGTGCTGTCAGCCCCTCCTATAGATAACTATATTTAACAGAGGCACCATGGATTTTTTTAAGCTCAAATTGCCATCTAACGCTGCTGAATGCTACGTGTATCACTGTTTAAGACAAAAAAATTGGTGAACAAAGTAAGTACAGAGCAGTGGGCAAAAAACGAAATGTTCTGACCAATCTTGAAAGTACGAAAATAAAGATTAGACATGAATCTCTCCAAATACAACTTTCAGTGGGTAAATGAGAAAGGGAAACAATTATAATGTGGTTTAAAGCTCTTAAAAGTCAACTTTGCATAATATGTCAAAATGAAAACCCTCAAGAGACGAATTAATGCGAAAACAAGCAGTGGATAAAGGGGAGTAAATGGTTTTCATCTGTATTAATTTGTTCATGTTTTTTGTTACCTGTGTTCTCAGCTTTGTGAAGTATTTGCACTTGCAGTAACCTTTGACAGGCTTTGGAGTCTTAACAGAGTAAAACTCTAATTAAACAAGGATTTTATTTTAATTTTTTTTTTACAGAGGACATTATAACATTATAAAAACTGAAAAGATTTTTTGTAATTGTGGTTGTGGGTAAGCTTGCAGACTGGCTGGTTAAAGATCCTCTATTAACAAAACAGACTCATGTTTTTGATGATTTTTGATGATTTTAGTTTTTGTGTAACTGTTTTGTTTTTAAGTGCCTTATTTGTTGTTTTTCGGTGTTATATGTGGACCCCAGGAAGAGTAGCTGGTGTCACTGACATCAGCTAATGGAGATCTGAATAAAATCAAATCAAATGTGAGCTTTAAGCCATCTAATAATGTTGTTACCCCATCAAAAACATACAAAAAACAGTTTGAGTTTGAGAGTGTTTGAGTCATCATTTGTTCTTAGTCTGTCTACATTTCCAAAGCTCAAAATGCTCTGTTCCACCTTGTGATGTCGTGAAGTGGTAGATTTCAAATGAACAGCTCCTTTTACCTTTAGTTCAGTAGAGACTGGCAATTCCAGGTCTGAAATCATCCAAATGATTCTAGTGAAGGTGTGTGGAGTCTAAAAACACAGTGGAACATTTCCCATATTTTCACATGACATCACAAGGTGGAACAGCATTTTCTATTTGAGATAAGAACACAAAGATTTGCGTGTTAAACTTGTAAGTGAAACAAAACACAACTGCAGGTTTGTTTTTGATGGGGAAACAACATTGTAACATAGATCAGAAAATAGCATAATATGGGCAGTTTAATACACGCCTGATTCATCAGCCAGTTTCACTTTGCAGAAACCGTTTGCTCAACAGTAGGCGGGAACTTTTTAAATTTAACCAATCGCTGCTATTTGGTCATGACGTATGTAATGCGCCGCTAACTGGACTAACTGGTATATTAAGCTTTTCCCAAATCCCGTAGGAAGAAGGGCATTAACGTCTTTCCCCTTGAAAAAATTTGCCAAACATTGTCTTTGTTCCGGCTTTAAATCCTCGATCTTGGGAAACGTTGCCAACACAGAATGTATGGCTCTTCGCTGATTGGCTGGTGCCCGGACTTGCACTTGAGGGGTTCTTGCAAACTGTCTTGTGCATTCTGATTCATGACCTAGTCGCTGGAGAGAAATAAAATTGAGTGCAGGCACTAGGAGGCGCCAGCCTGGCTACTTTAATACCCCGTAAAATTAAAATAGCCTCTCTTTAAGTTGTTTTGTTGATTTTTATTCTCACAATAATTGCAACAGTAAAATTAGATATTGTGACATTCGCACTTGTTAATCCTTATCAACATTAGCCTTCCTGAACGTTCCTGTGCTGTTTCCTATTTCCCTGTGGTCTGCCTTGTTGTGCCTGTATTTGCTGCCCTCGCCATGGTAACCATGTGGTAGCAGTTTAGCCGTCTGATCTGGCTTTGTGTATATGCAAATCTAATGGAGTGTGTGTGTACAAATGCATGTACAGCACGAGAGGGACAGAGGACAAAGAAGGCTTACATGGTCTGTATGTTGACTTTGGCCCTTTTCACCTCAACACACTTCAGCTACAGCCCCATGTGCACTGTAAAAAGTACAATCGAATGTAATGACTGATCTGGTGGCTCTCAGTCTGAGCTTCTGATTTAAACTTGACTTGGTCTTGTTGTAGACTTTGTTCAGTCCTAGTTTAGTCCAGGTTTAGTACACATTTGATTAGTACCAATTTTAAAGGTGCACTGTGAAACTTCTAAGGTGGAGGATCTGAGATGTCATTTCTTTGCCTGCTTCACCGTATGACGCGTGACCTTGCATTTGTGCCGTTTAAGCAAAGTGTTTTACAGCTCAAAAATGCCTTTTTATGCAGCCTTAAATTCAAATATGATTCATGATTTGAACAACTTTTGGAAAATGTTAATGTCTTTACTTTTTGTATCAAAATATTTATGATTTTTAGTACCTTATAATGCGTTTAAATGTATTCGGATATTTTATAAACTGTAAATTACATACATGTTCCTACAATAATCAACAACCAATATATTAAGGCAATTATTTTACATTACCAATCACAAAAATAGTGTTTAAATCAATAATTCTGAAAAGAAGTGAGGAGAAACAAACACTAATTTGTGCATTACATCAAAAAAATCAATAGAAACAAAACACATTTTCATTTTTTTCCATGTCAGTATTTAGGTCCTCTGAACGGTGCATTGTGTAACTTTTCTGGTGGAGGGTTTGCGACCTGCTTTTCTCCATGGAGATGTTATTACTTTGTCTGAAACCTTTATATCTTCATGGAGACAAGTTACTGGTCAGATCTGTGGAGAGAGTCAGTTTTTCTACATATTTTGAGCTATAAACACCAGTAACTGAATAAATGCAAGGCGGAACATTCAAAGCTGAGCAATATCCATAGACATATTCATAGAAACAAGAAGGAGACAGACCCCTACCGAAAAGTTACACAATGCACCTTTTACAAATCAATTTCATGCCTATTTTTGTGCCATCTTTTTTTGTAGTATTTCTTATGTAAGTGGTGGTTCTGTCAGTGCTGGGGTCATTCCTCTTTACACTGTTAAACACATGTGTGGAGTGACCCGTGACTAATTTACACACAGGTTCACTGCAGAATTTACCTCAATGATTCACCTAAACATTTGGACTCCAGATGCATGGAACCACTGATGCAAATGGCCACTGGCTGCCTTTAAAATTCACTGTGTAACCTTGGAATAAACACAAGTGGGTGCTAATTTCGGCTGTAAAAAGAATTGCAAGCTGTTAGACCTCAATATAAACTCTAGCTATTTGACTTGCATTGTGTGACTTACCCGATGATTACACGTTTGTCTCCAAGGAGATGTTTTTGCCTCAGTATTCCATAGCTTTATTGCTGAAAAACACCATCAAAAACATGAAATCTTACTCTGAGCTTGGTCGCCTCTCCGCAGACTTGACATCGGCTTCAAAGTGTCAATAGATTTTTCTTTATGCAGATTATCAGGAAGCTCAAATGTACCGTGTTCTTTTTATCTTTCAGGATCGCTAAGGGTTACCAGACGTCTCCTGACCTCCGCCTGACCTGGCTGCAGAACATGGCAGAGAAACACAACAACAGGAAGTGCTACACGGAGTCGGCCATGTGTCTGGTGCACGCCGCCGCCCTGGTGGCAGAGTACCTGAGCATGCTGGAGGACCACAAGTACTTACCTGTGGGCAGCGTCACTTTCCAGGTACAGACTAACGTATCTTTAAACTACAATAAGGGTCAAAAGTTTTAGAACACCTTAATTTTTCTAGTTATTTATTGCAATTCAAGTCGTGCAAGTCCAAAGGAGTACACAGGAGGTTAAAAAAAAGGTAAACGATAACAAAAAAACAAGTCCAAGCTCTGCCAAAACTACCTCAGGAAAAAAGAACAAGATGGTAAACTTGAAAACATGGAGTGTCCAGCACAGTCTCCAGACTTAAACCCCAACGAGCTGGTTTGGGATGAACTGGACAGAAGAGTGAAAGCCAAGAAACCTACAAGTGCCACACATTTATGGGAACTTCTGCAACAGACTTGGGAAGCACTTTTTGAAGAATATTTGATTTCTATTGTAAAAAGAATGAGCCACGAGTGTGTTCAGCTGTTGTATCTGCCAAAGGTGGACACTTTGATGAATCAAAAGTTTAGAATACATTTTGGTCAACAGTAAACGGTAACAAACTGGAAAAAGTGTGGTGTTCTAAAACTTTTGACCAGTAGTGTATATATCAGGGTAGCCGCGGGGTCTTAAAAGTCTTTAAAAAGTCTTAAATTTCATGTTCCTAAATTAAGGCCTGAAAAAGTCTTAAATTATGTTGTCCAAATCTTTATGTCTTAAATTTCATTAGCCTATTTTTCTGTTTACTCAACCGGTCTGCAGTGTAATGTTAAATGGAGATAAATAATAAATAATAATAAAAAAACAACAACGTGAAATCGCATGAATGAACGTCTAATTTGGAGTATGCGCAAACAATACTTTGGTTTGTGGCGCCGGCGACAATGAGTAAACAATCAGTAGAGTGCAGGAAGACATTGGATGGATCATGGGGAAGTGTCAGTTTAATGTGTGTGGCTTTTAGATTGTAGATTTAGTACCGTAGTTGGTTGGTCATTATTAGAATTGGCTCTGGTGTTTTTCGCCCACATAATGGGTGCAATGTTGGACTTAATTTTCATTTAAATGGTCTTAAAATGGTCTTAAAAAGTCTTAAATTTCGTGTAGTCAAACCTGGGGATACCCTGATCTATGTATGAAGTGCACTCAGGGTTGAAATGGTTATGGAAATCCTAGAAACGTCAGAAAATTTTAGTCTCTCTTTCACGCAAGTACAGCGGTCTTTTAAACTATCATTAGGCTACTATGATTATTTCTGAATGTCTGCGCCTTTTGTTTAAAAGAGACGATAATAAATGCACTGACAGTATTCTGAATGTTAAAAAACTATAAAACCAAACCATAAGGTGAGTGGAAAGAGTTAACATTTCATATTTAGCCCTAAAAGTATGATCAGTTCTGCACATGTAGGTGCTGTAAAGTCATGGAAAATTCACTTTAGGTCATGAAAAAGTCATGGAAAAGCTTTGAAATTTTGTCAGTGAAAAGGAGTTGGAACCCTGTGCACTATGTATGAACTGTATTTTTAAAAGAAACTTTGAATTCTGTTAATTTCAGAAGCAGCTGTTACATTTCTCTATTACTTATAGATACAAGCTTACATTTTTAATCTATTTTTCTGAGCTATGAAGGAGGGAAGATTATTTCAATAGAGGGACTTACTTTGTCCCTCTATTCTTATAAAACGAAGCCCATATAAAATAATGTGTAATTATGTCTTGAAATGTCCTTGAATGCTCCACATTATGGCATTAAGCATGACTCAGTGGAGATACACAAGTGATGCCACAAGGTTCAGGTCAGATCTGGTATTTTTGAGAAACAGAAACACTTGAATGAGTAAATAGATAAGTTTACATCACATTTCAGGTAAATAACAGTAACCTTTCCAAGCTTTTAACTGTGGCAGGATCCAGAAAAGTTACACAGTGCACCTTTAATTTACAAGTACAAAAGTATGGCCCAACAAGATCTCTTCATGACCCAAGAATTCCCCATATCTTACCATTCAGATTATAGTCATTTAATAATGCAAATCTATTTATACTATACTACTACTACTACTACTATATATATATATATATATATATATATATATAGTCCACATCTTGTAAAATACGAAAGCTGCACTTTCAGTAAAAATGAAACCTTTTCCATCATGTAGATCTCTTGCACAATGTCAATCCAGTTCTCAATTGTTGGTCACTCAGGTTTAAGGCACTTCCTTTTTTATTGCCTTTTTCCTTGTTGCCAATAGAATACAGAGTAATCTCTTGTTTGTGTTGTTAAAACCGTCTAATATTAAGTTACCAAGATACAAAGTTTCAAACGACAGGGTATACTCAGTGTTGGGAAGGTGACTTTTAAAATGTATTCCCCTACAGATTACAGATTACATACCTCAAAATGTAGTTTGTAACATAATCCATTAAATTACTTAAAGTGAGTAACGTAATCTGAATACTTTGGATTACTTGATTTGCTGTAGAGAAGCAAAGACTAAGATATCGCAACATAAGATGTTTTGTTTGCTAAAAGAAAATAAAAATCCCAGACTTTACTTAACGGTATTAAAAATATTATTGATAAAAGAGGAGGAGATACGTCCACGCAGCCTGGTTTAGTCCTCTTAACTCCTGTTTTAGTCCTGGTTTAGTCTGTTTTAGTCCTGGTTTAGTCCTGGTTTAGTCCTAGTTTAGTCCTGGTTTAGTCCTTTTTTTAGACCTGGTTTAGACCTGGTTTTAGACCTGGTTTAGACCTGGTTTAGAAATGGTTTTAGTCCTGGTTTTAGACCTGGTTTAGACCTGGTTTAGATCTAGTTTAGAAATGGTTTTAGTCCTGGTTTAGTCCTGGTTTTAGACCTGGTTTTAGACCTGGTTTAGACCTGGTTTAGAAATGGTTTTAGTCCTGATTTAGACCTAGTTTAGACCTGGTTTAGATCTAGTTTAGAAATGGTTTTAGTCCTGGTTTAGACCTAGTTTAGACCTGGTTTTAGTTCTGGTTTTGACCTGGTTTTAGTCCTGGTTTAGTCCTGGTTTAGACCTAGTTTAGACCTGGTTTTAGTCCTGGTTTAGTCCTGGTTTAGTCCTGGTTTAATCCTGGTTTAGTCCTGGTTTAATCTTGGTTTAGACTTGGTTTAGACCTGGTTTAGATCTAGTTTAGACCTGGTTTAGTCCCCAACACAGGGTATACTATATATTTTTTATTATGACTTTGCCTCTGTCCATCGGGGGGAGCTGTGTTCTCATAATAATTGCCCATCATTTTCTCCCTAACCCTTGTCGTGCTTCTGCTGCTAAACACACAAAGCCTTTGAAGCCGTGGAGGGGAGAGGGGCTTGGGTGGTCCTCAGAGAGTCTGGGATCAGTTTGTCCCATGAACTAAAGCAGTTATCGGAACAACACGGAAACTGCTATTGACGACCTGTGTCCACCCCGGCCTCTGTGGGGAGTATGTCCAGGACAGTCTAAGTCGGCACCTCATCGATCGAATGTTCATCAAATTAGCGCCGTTTCAGTCTGTGGGACATCTACCTGTTAAAGTTATCCTCCTTATTGATTATCTGATTAGTGAGGTAATTGATTGATTTGCCCTCCCTCTGTAGAACATCTCTCCTAACGTGCTGGAGGAGTCTGCCGTGTCCGATGACATCCTGTCCCCCGATGAAGACGGCGTGTGCTCGGGGCGGTACTTCACGGAGAGCGGTTTGGTCGGGCTTCTGGAGCAGGCTGCAGAGCTGTTCAGCAACGTGAGATTTCCAAACTGATCTTGTTTAGGTTTTAAAGGTCCAAAGGCAAAATTGATCCCTGTGAGCTTTAGTTTAATGTTGCCTCATCAAAAACATACCTGGAGCTGAACCAGGACTGAACCAAAACTGAACCAGATTTAAAATAGGAATAAAGCAGGACTAAAGCAGAACTAAACCAGGACTGAATCAGTACTAAATCAGGTCTAAACCAGGACTAGACTAGGACTAAACCAGGACTAGACTAGGACTAAACCAGAATTGAACCAGGACTGAACCATGACTGAACCAGGACTAAATCAGGTCTAAACGAGGTCTAAACGAGGTCTAAACCAGGTCTAAACCAGGTCTAAACCAGGACTAAACCAGAATTAAACTAGAACTGAACCAGGACTAAACTAGGACTAAATCAGGTCCAAACCAAGAGTAAACTAGGACTAAAGTAGGACTAAACCAGGTCTAAACCAGGTCTAAACCAGGTCTAAACCAGGTCTAAACCAGGACTAAACCAGGACTAAACCAGAATTAAACTAGAACTGAACCAGGACTAAACTAGGACTAAATCAGGTCTAAACCAAGACTAAACTAGGACTAAACTAGGACTAAACCAGGTCTAAACCAGGACTAAGTCAGGACTACACTAGGACTACACTAGGACTACACTAGGACTAAACTAGGACTAAACCAGGACTAAACTAGGTAAACCAGACTAACCAGAACTAACTAACCAGTAAACCAAGAACTCTAAACCAGGTCTAAACTAGACTAAACTAGGACTAAACCAGGTCTAAACCAGGACTAAGTCAGGACTACACTAGGACTACACTAGGACTACACTAGGACTACACTAGGACTAAACCAGGACTAAACTAGGACTAAACCAGGTCTAAACCAGGTCTAAACCAGGACTAAGTCAGGACTACACTAGGACTACACTAGGACTACACTAGGACTACTAGGACTAAACCAGGACTAAACTAGGACTAAATCAGGTCTAAACCAAGACTAAACTAGGACTAAACTAGGACTAAACCAGGTCTAAACCAGGTCTAAACCAGGACTAAGTCAGGACTACACTAGGACTACACTAGGACTAAACCAGGACTAAACCAGGACTAAACTAGGATTAAACCAGGTCTAAACCAGGTCTAAACGAGGACTAAGTCAGGACTACACTAGGACTACACTAGGACTAAACTAGGACTAAACCAGGACTAAATTATGTGTAAACCAGCACTGAACCAGAACTCAACCAAGACTGAACCAGTTTTAAACCAGAACTGAACCAGGTCTAAACCAGGTCTAAACCAGGTCTAAACCAGGAGACTAAACCAAGACTAAACCATGACTAATCTTGGACTTGAGAGAGAGGGAGAACCCCGAGCAAAACGTGTTTGGGCATCGGCTGAGCTTACCCCCGTGGAGCTCTGCGCCGGTCATTTCTCCTGCGGTCACCCAACACTCTACGTGCGTGCACCTCTGGGTCCGTCCCGACACTCAGTCCTGGTTCGGTCCTGGTCCCTCATGTCTCATGTCACTATAGGACAGTACTGCAGATACCATGAGTGTATGCAGGTTGTTTTCACCATTGCCAATATCTAGAGTTTGACATTTAAGTTGTAGTTATTTTATATTTGTTATTTTTTTATATTTCACGTCGGGAGAAGTATTCTTCTCTCCTGTATTTGAGTAACCCCCTATTAGTTTATCTACATCTTCAAAGCTCAAAATGCTCTGTTCCACCTTGTGATGAAATTGATTAATGAAATTATCCATTAAAAACTGAATTACCAACACAGAGAAGAACTAAATATGCAGGGTTTGTGTGTTAAACATGTGTGAATGAAACAAAACACAGCCTCAGGTAACATAAATCAGAAAATGTGTAATATGGACCCTTTAATAGTTTTCATCTTCATACTGGTAGAAGCACTTGCACGAAAAACAGTCCAGTTTCTTCCTTCAACTTGTGAACTCTGCTCTAGTTCATTTACACTGGTCCAAATGAATTCCCCACTAACTCACACATTCTTCGCATCCCCAGCTATTCATCACGATGAGTTTATAATTAATTCTTGATTGTAAAATAAAAAACGAACATGTTTAGAAAACCTTTTTAAGTTACCCATTTTGAGGGAACTTTCTGAAAGCATTATTTTGATAAGTCCCATTTATTACACAAGTGGCACAATTTCAACCAAAAGCACTGAATTGTTTGCAGACATCTGTTGAATTTGGCCACGATAATCACACTGTCAAAACAGATGGGGTAAACATAACTCAGTCGGGCTAACAAAACCACACAGACACGACCACAAGTGACACTATAATGGCAAGGTTTAAAGTGCGTGACAGGTTAAAACAACTCATTTGACTAAAACAGACTTAACATATTAACATTTTACTAAATATCTTTTTTTCGGTGATGCTTATAATTTTATTTTCTGGTTGGACATGGAAAGCAGATGTGACATGTGTAGAGATAATTCAATGTCTGTTACTTATCAACCATAACATTAACAACGGGCAAAACTTAAAATTACACAATAGTCAGGCTTAAGGTAAGTGAGGAGTAACGTTGGATCACTGCAAACTGTTTAAAATCAACAGCTTTTTATGTTTAATGTTTTTAAACTGATCACTTTCTGATCGTTGATAATCTTATAAATGGTTCCCACGGTCATGGAAATTCTGGAAAACTCATGGAAATTGAAAATGTCATGGAATTTTAGTATCTCTTTCGCGCAACTACAGCGTTCTGTTAAGTTATCATTAGACTATTATGATTATTTCCAAATGTATACGCCTTTTGTTTAAAAGGGACGACAATAAATGCGCTGACAGTATTTTGAATGTTAAAAAACCATAAAACCAAACCATAAGGTGAGTGGAAAGTGTTAACATTTCATATTTAGCCCTAAAAGTCTGATCAATTCTACACCTGTAGGGTGACGTAAAGTAGAAATCTTCGCGGAACAGAATTTTCAGACCCGCTCCCGTCCGCACCCGCAAAGAATTGTAATTTTTCGTCCCGCGCCCACCTGCATCTGCGATATTTTGTCCCGCTTCCACCCGCAAGTCACGCAAAATGTTCACTTTCGCTTTCTTAAGTTCTATCAAGCACAGAGCAGCAGAAAGGAATTGTCTAAAATGTGCACAAGATTAGACCACGTCCGCAAATTTAGGCTGCATAAATGTTTTTATTAATGCCAACTAAAATATCCAGCACGAATGATGTATAATAGGCACACATAAATCATTTGTATATTTTACTTTATACTCATATTTAGTTTGTGGTTCATCATCCCAACCACTCGCTCCCGCAATGAGCTTTTAAAATGTGTCTCACGCCACACTGTCCCGCGGGTGCAGGGCTCTACCGTAGAGTCATGGAAAATTCACTTTAGGTCATGAAAAAGTCATGAAAAAGTTTAGAAATTTTGTCAGTGAAAAAGAGTGGGAATCCTGTAAATATAATTCCTTACTGAAATTGTGTTTTGCTTCGTTCCCAGATTCCAGACAGTTAGTTGTAAAAAGGATACCTATGTCAGATTCTAGATAGACAGTAGTAAAAAAAAAAAAGATAATTATGTCACAGATAGTAATCTCAAGACTAAACTGTTTAGCTTAGCTTTGTGGGGGGCAAAAAAACACTTTTAATCACTGTAAAGCTCATTGTGTTGCATTTTTTGTATGAAAAGCGCTCTATAAATAAAGTTTAAATTGATTGACATATGTTTAACACACAAACCCTGCATATTTAGGTTTTGTTCTTCTTTGAAAATAAAACCACTCAGTTTTAAGCTTCGCGCAACTTCACTAGAATCATTTGGATGATTTCAGATCTGGAGTTATCATTTTCTACTTAACAAACGTAGTTGTTAACTTGAAAACTACCGCTTCATCACTACGTGGAACAGAGCATTTTGAGCTTTGGAGATAAGCTCAAAATGCTCAAACATGTGTGAGTGAAACAAAACAACCCCAAGTATTCTAACATGACTTAAAGCTCACAAGAGTCTATTTTGCGTAATATAGGACGTTTAAGACAGTAAAAATCATTTCACATCGACGCTTGTTCTTTCAGGGTGGTCTTTACGAAGCTGTGAATGAAGTTTACAAGATCATAATACCGATATTGGAAGCACACAGAGACTTCAGAAAGCTGTCTTCTACTCACAGCAAGCTGCAGAAGGCATTTGACAACATCATTCAAAAGGTAATAACTTCCCCACATCAAGACACAAGACTCTTATTCATATGTACACACGCAAATATGTTTTAAATAGGTTTACAATTTTGTTTCAATTGACTTTTGACAACCCAGTGTCCATTAACATTGTTCTGTGCTGGGAGGAAGATTTAGTTTGATTTGCATAGCTTGAAGGGAGATTGAATTTCAAGCTCAGCCCATCAAAGCATACAGCACAATAAAGGCTTCATAAAAGGCTATTAACATAATGAGTGTGGATATGTCGCAGTGATTAGAGTCAAATATTCAAATGCGCTTCTTGTTTTTCCGCAGGGCCATAAGAGGATGTTTGGAACGTATTTTCGAGTAGGGTTTTATGGATCTAAGTTTGGTGACCTGGATGAACGAGAATTTATCTACAAAGAGCCCGGGATCACACATCTGCCGGAGATCTCTCACAGACTGGAGGTAAGAGAGGAAAGATGGTTGGACAAGGCGAGCTGTATGGTAGCTACTTAAAGGGCCCATATTATTCTGTTTTCTTATTTATGTTATAATATTGTTTCCTCATCATGAACAAACCTGGAGTTCTGTTTAGTTATTATTAGTCGGTTTATATCTCCAAAGCTCAAAATGTAGACAACTAATAATAAAGAATTACTCAAAGGTGTGTGAATGAATCTAAACACAACTCCAGGTCTGTTTTTCATGAAGTAACAATATTATAACATGACTTAAAGCTCACAAGAGTCCATTTTGTGTCATATAGGCAGTGTTGGGGAGTAACAGATTACATGTACCAGAGTTACGTAATCAGAGTACAAATTATGAGTAACTGTATTCAGTTACAGTTACTGTTTCTATGAGTGGTAATTGGATTACAGTTACTTTGTTGAAATAAATGGATTACACTGCGGTATTTTCCTGTTTTCACATTTTGGGCTATTCTGTTTTTTTGTTTTGTTTTGTTTGGTATTTCCACTCATTGCCGGACACTAAACCAGGTCTAAACCAGGTCTAAACTAGGTCTAAACCTGGACTAAATCAGGACTAAACCAGGACTAAACCAGGACTAAACCAGGACTAAACCAGGACTAAACCAGGACTAAAGCAGGTCTAAAACCAGGTCTAAACAAGGTCTAAACCAGCACTAAACCAGGACTAAAACAGGATTTAACAGGACTAAATCATGTTGTGTGGGCGTGTCTCCTCTTCTTCTATCAATAATATTTTTAATTTGGTTCAGTAAAGTCTGGGCTTTTTATTTTCTTTTATCAGACAAAACATCTAATGTGAAGATTTCCTCGTCTTTGCTTCTCTACAGCAAATCAAGTAATCCAAAGTATTCAGATTACGTTACTCACTTTCAGTAATTTAATGGATTCCGTTACAAACTACATTTTGGGGATGTAATCTGTAATCTGTAGGGGAATAGATTTTAAAAGTGACCTTCCCAACACCGAGTATAGGACCTTTATTGTGTACATTATTTTGTTCAAAATATGCAGACGAATGAGGAATAATAAATGATGACGCAAAATAGTTTCACTCATACCCTTTATAAAGAAGTGGACTAAGGTTACGTTTATATGATGACGGTCTAAACAAAAGATGCAAAAGTGGCGTCGTATCTTTACTTTTTATTCCGCGTTTAGACGAGTGTTTTCGGGAGGAAATCTGCGTGCATACGGTGACGCAAAAGTGTGTGGAATTCGGTTGGATATACATGCCAGGCGGCTCGGTGGTGACAATAGGTGGTGACGTATGTGACGTAAACGCGTACGTGACGTGAGCAGATCTGACCAGAGTTTTGCATCTTGGGCAGTGTAGATGGAAACACTACGGTGGAGCGTATTAAACTTTTCCACTCTGGAGGGTGGTTTCAGATTTTTGCGTTTTTAAGCCCCAAAAACGCCATCACCGTCTAAACAAAAGGCACTTCTGATAAATATTTTGTTGTTTTTATCCGCAAGTGTTCTCGTGTAAACAGACGCTGAGGGAGTGTGACGTCATCTATAGTGTTAGGATCCAGTCAAATGCAGCTCACGAGGCTGAAATAAATATGAATTTATTTACAGACAAAATAATGAAATAAAAACAGTGGGATCACATAGAGCGGGTTAATATGAACATTTTAAGACCAAAATGACAAGGCTACCAGCAGCAGTTACAGAGAGAGGGACAACGATTTTTTATTTATTTTTTTATGTAAAGTCAATTGCAAATAGAGTCGATGGAGCCGGAAGCGCCCCACCCCACCGTCACTTCCTGTTTGTTAGTTATGTACATTTTTATATACAGTATGTGGTTTCACCCTAACTGATTGATATTCGCAAACATTCAAAGCGAGGCTGTTTGAATGATCGAAATATCAAACTATTCGATTAACCTGCAGAAAACGAAAACTATGTGTTTTAAAGACAAAGATAATTCAGGATTTTTTATACTAAATTGTTCTTATTTTTGACTAGATGCAATTTCATAGCCTAATGTATTCCTGTAAATGAGAAGCTGCAGATGTAAACTAGCTACTTAGTTTTAATCTCCTGCACAATATGTGATTTTTATGAGCTTAAAGGAAATTTTAACTTAAAGGTGCTCTTTTACGCTATTTTCTGATATATTATAATGTGTTTCCTTATCACAAACAGACCTGGAGTTGTGTTTTGTTTCATTCATGTATGTTTAAGACACAAGCCCTGCATATTTAGGGTTATTTAGAGTTAGTCTCAAACAGACTCAAACATGTGAATGAAACAAAACACAGCTATGTTTTTGCTGAAGTAACAACATTATATCATGGCTTAAAGCTCAGATTCAATTTTGTATAATATAGGACCTTTAATGTCTCTTTACATTGTACCTTCAAAAAAAAGACAAAACTGCTGGTGCTGTAACTAGATGCTAAACAAAAGCATAGAGCAGCCTCGCAGTTACCTCCAGTTTATGCATCCCGGTCGGGGGCGCACAGGTCAGAAGAGGAGCAAATCACTGAGAACATCTGCCCTCAGTACATCAAACCAGCCAGCGCCTCTTAAAGTACTTCTTTGAACCTCTGAAGCTTTTAAACTCTGCCATGTTTAATTCAAAAGCTCCAGTAGGAAGTGAGGCGTACAGTTCACGCAATGCATAACAACGAACTCTGCACGGAAACTATAAAACATCTTTATTTTTTTTCTTTGATCCCGCAGAATTTCTATAGTCAGTGTTTTGGAGATGATACGTTGGTTATGATAAAGGATTCTTCGCCGGTGGACCAAACGCAGCTCAATCCAAACAAGGTAACAGTTTAAAAGGCCCATGTTATTTCACTATTTTCTGATCTGTTATAATGTTGTTTACTCATGAGAAACATACCTGGAGTTGTGTTTATTTTTATTCACACGTTTAACTCTCACACAAATCCTTTAGGCTGAGTTCTTCCCTCAAACTGAAAATGCTCCGTTCTGTGTTTTTAAACTCTATACACCTTCACTAGAATCATTTGGATAATTTCAGACCTAGAATTGCCTGTCTCTGCTGAACAAAAGGTAGCTGTAAACTTGAAAACTACCACTTCATGACATCACAAGTTGGAGCAGAGCATTTTAATATTTAGAGATGTAGACAGACTAATAATACAGGGTTACGGAAGCTGAGAGGGGTCACAACAAACGCAAACGCCGCAACAAATACAAATGCGACAACACAACAAAAAGCCACAACACACCACAAAAAGCCACAACGGAAGTGGCCGCGGGACTCTATTTTAATGCAAATGCCACAACAAATACAAAGCCACAACACAAACGCAAATGCCACAACACATTCAAAAAGCCACAACAAACCAAAAAAAGCCACAACACACCACAAAAAGCCACAACGGAAATGACCGCGGGACTCTATTGTAACACAAACGCCACAACAAATACAAATGCCACAACACAAACGCAAATGCCACAACACATCAAAAAGCCACAACGGAAGTGACCGCGGGACTCTATTTTCCGACGGACCGATCAAGCGGCAAGTGAAGAAGAACTACAACGTGAAACGAATAATGATAAAACAATAAATTACTTTTACTTACGTTTCCAACTTCTCCGTTCCTGTACTTTTCACGTTCTTCTTCTTCACTTGCCTCTTGATCGGTCCGTCGGAAAATAGAGTCCCGCGGTCACTTCCGTTGTGGCTTTTTGATGTGTTGTGGCTTTTTAATGTGTTGCAGCATTTGCATTTATGTTGTGGAGTTTGTATTTGCTGCGGCGTTTGCATTAAAATAGAGTCCCGCGGTCATTTCCGTTGTGGCTTTTTTTGGTGTTTTGTGGCTTTTTGTTGTGTTGTCGCCTTTGTATTTGTTGCGGCGTTTGCGTTTTGTTGTGACCCCTCTCGGCTTCCGTACAGGGTTACATAAACGCGTGTGAATGAAGTGTGCACAACTCCGGTTATGTTTTTGATGATGTAATTCTAACATTATAACACGGCTTAAAGCTCACAGGAGTCAGTTTTGTATGCAGGGTTTGCGATGTTCTTGTCCCCGAAGGTGATGTTATTAGTTTGCCCGGGATGTTTCACAGTATGACTTTAAATGTCATACTTTGAAACAGGTCAAATGTGTGAAGAGGTGACCCAGCTCAAAGCTAGAATGCATCTTTTTCAAGGAATCTGAGTTATAAAATAAATACAATACAATAATAATCTCCAAAAATATGGTGTACACCCATTAAGAAAGTTACTCAGTACACTTTTAATCAAGCTAGGATCCAATAGCCTACTAAATCATATTAAACTGTTGTTGTTTCTTTAATAATAGATGCAAAAGGATTATAAATAAATGATGAGACTTAATGGTAATTACTAGTGACCTGTTTACTGTGTTAGCGGGTGGCACACTCATATATATATATATATATATATATACATATATATATATATATATATATATATATATATATATATATATATATATATATATATATATATATATATACAGTACATTTACAAACATTAGTATTCACCGCATTGAAAAAATACTGCAATCAGCTTTTACGAGCAATCAGAAAAACATCAAGTAAAAAATAATAATTCTTGAGAGATTTATGTATTTATTTTGGACAAGAAATGTACATTCTTTTACAGTGGAACATATAACATTAATGAAATCATAGCAAAAATACCAACAACAACAAGAAGTGTTTGGTTTAAGTGTATTTCCATCCATCCATTTTTAGGTCCTAGTCATTTAGTTTTACTGTTTGGAAATTTTATTGATTATTCTCTCAAAATATTGGAAAAATGTCATGAAAAAAAAATGAAATTGGCCAGTGTTACTGTCAAATTACTAAAATATGTTTTGACTGATGTGAATTTAGTTTTTTTTAAAATTACAATATAAATGCTTGTTGGTTAAATGTTCCACAGTATGACTTTAAATTAGGTATAGTTATTGCATCATTGCGGCATGAAATTGAAGATTGATTATTATTGTATATGTTACGTTAGCTTCTTAACATCCTTTTGCCAACTAAAGTTTTATTTTTGAAGTGGTAAAACTGTCCTTTCTTGATAATGTCCTAAGTAAAAAATGCATGTAAATAAATCTAAAATAAAAGTGTAAGTAATATAATAGTATTGTTTTTTTGTCTCCTACAGGCGTACATCCAGATCACTTTTGTGGAGCCGTACTTTGACGACTACGAAATGAAAGACCGAATGACAAACTTTGAGAAAAACTTCAACTTGCGGCGTTTCATGTACACCACTCCATTCACCAAGAGTGGGCGACCGCGCGGTGAACTCAACGAACAATACAAAAGGAAGACTATTCTGACCACAATGCACGCCTTCCCCTACGTCAAGACGCGCCTTAATGTCATACAGAAAGAAGAGGTAAGCCGAAACAGATCAACAGTGTTCAGAATGTTCAATTATTAAAGGGATCACATTACGCTATTTTCTGATCTATGTTATAATGTTGTTTCGTCATCACAAACATACCTGGAGTTGTGTTTAGTTTCATTCACACATTTAACACACAAACCCTCCATATTTAGGCTGAGTTCTTCTCTGAAACAGAAAAACACCTTCACTAGAATCATTTGGATCATTTCAACCCTTGAATTGCCAATTTCTGCTGAACTAAAGGTAAAATGTAGCTGTTAACTTGAAAGCTACTGCTTGATGACATCACAAGGTGGAACAGAGCATTTTGAGCTTTGAAGATGTAGACAGACTAATAATAAAAGGTTATTCAAACATATGTGAATGAAATAAAACACAATTCCAGGTATGCGATGAGGTAACAGCATCCATTTTGTGAAATCATAATACAGCAATACAGCGATTGTCAATGTAATATTATTTTTAAACCAACATTTACATTTTTAAAGGTGCTTTTCTGGTAGAAGCTCCTCCACTCGCTTGTCTCTGTTGAATTGTAGTAGTGCTTTGACTGGAATGCTTCACAGCATGGCATTAAAGTTTTCTATCTCCATGGAGACAAGCAAGAGACGCCAAAGATACACTGCATATCTCGGGGATGTCAAAGTCAAATTCACAGAGAGCAAAATTAAAAACTGGAACTAAGTCGTGGGCTAAACTAAATATTTATTGAAAAATTTCAACAACATCTGCGTGTTTTCTCTTCTTTCGAGATGTGTAATGTTAAATCCTTTCTTATTAAAATAAATGTTTAATAATAGTTTTGCTTAAACACTGAATCCAGAACAAGCATCATATAAAATAATAACACAATTTTAAATAAATAATGTCTCTATAGCCTATCTGTAGCCGGTGGAGAAGCACTAATACAGATTCATAAGGATCTCACAGGTCAAATATAATTATATCGTGGGCCAAATTTAAGTTTGACATATCTGGTATATCTATTTCAATTTTAGCAATAAACACAGTAATTGCTCGATAAATGAGTTTCAGACAGTAAACATTGGATACAGACATTTTCAATTAGTTTAATAATCAAACAATCAAATTATATTATTCTAGCCTATATTACATAAAAAGTTTTTCTATAGCTTGACATCAAAATTAGAAAGCTGCAAATATAGATTCAATCACAATATTTCTGAATTATCACTTTTTTCACATTGTACTGTTCAGTATGTTCATTAAGCTCAAATTTTCCTTTTAGTTTGACCTGACCCCGATCGAAGTGGCCATAGAGGACATGCAGAAGAAGACCAGGGAGTTAGCAGTGGCCACACACAGAGAGCAGCCCGACGCTAAGATGCTACAGATGGTGCTGCAGGGATCGGTGGGAGCAACTGTCAACCAGGTAAACAATCACAAACATTTATATCATTAAAAAACAATTAAAGGGCCCATATTACACTGTTCTCTGTTCTATGTTATAATATTGTTCTCTCGTCACAAACATAACTGGAGTTGTGTTTTGTTTCATTCGCACATGTTTAACACTCAAAGCCTGCAGATTTATTTAGAGTTCTTCTCTCGAACAGAAAACACTTTGTTCCACCCTGTTATGTCACGTGGTTATACTCCAATACACCTTCACTACAATTATTTGGATGATTTCAGCTGAATTGTTTCTTTACTATGGTACCTGTTAACTTGAAAACTACCACTACATGAAATCACAAGCTGAACATTTTGAGCTTTGGAGATGAGGAGGTAACATTATAACTTAAAACTCACAAGAGTCAATTTTGCGTAATATAGGATCTTTAAAGGATTGACACTTGCACAAGGAAGGGCATCTGGCATAAATAACAGCCAAACTACCAAGCGAAAATGTTTTATGGAAACCCAAATTACAAAGAGATACACAGAAGGTAAAAGAAACACAAAAAAACATTAATATTTATTACTGACAACATGAAATCCATGGCTCTCAAGATGATTTAGAGGACTATTGCACTAGGATAAAAAAATTAAGTTACCATATTTTTCAGACTACAAGGTGCACCTTATTATAAAACGCATTATCAATAATGTTGAATTCTCTTGTCTATTTTCATACATAAGTCACATTAAGTTAAACAAACGGACAACCCTTAAGACTGATCCCTTAGCCACGGTGTCCACGATCCATTGGCAGATCGTGGCGTAATTCACCCGGCGTCGCCTCCCTGTTTTGGTGAATGTGTATTATGAATGTGAATGTGGGTGGATCATTTAAGTTTGTTTTTTTATTTCCTACGAGGAGGATTCAAATATACATTGAGTAATAGTGTTTAATGCAGTTTGTGCACATTTGTTTACGTTTTACAGAAACTAAACTTAAAACCACATGGCTAATTTGCATAAACTGCATAAGCACTGAAGAAACAGCTCACTCTTTGTGCGCTGATGTGGTCAGCTTCTGTCGGACTCAGCGAGGCGCCTGATTACAGTAGATGTAATGCTCCGACAATCCATCAAGTGGTGCGGCTTCGTAACTTACCAAAGTCGTACTAAAACATTTTGACAGATTTTTGAGCTCTGTGTAGCACATAAAATTGGTTTAAGGTCAGTAAGCACAACCAGAATTAATGCATAAGGCGCATTAGAATAGAATAGAAAGCCTTTATTGTCATTATACAGTATAATGAAATTCAGAGCTGCTCCTTCAAAGTACAAGTGCAAAATATTAATAATAAATAAAACAAATTAACTGTTCTCATTCAGTATGGTGACAGTTTTGGGGAAGAAGCTGCCCCTGAGTCTATTGGTCCTAGATGAAATTGACCTGAAGCGCCTGCCAGAAGGCAACAGGTTATAAGGTGCATTGTTGATTTTTGAGAAAATTAATGGATTTTAAGTGCGCCTTACACTTACGTACTTTATGGGTATGTTCTTTATTTGCCATTAAACATGTAAATTGTACAACAAAATTATAGACAACAGATGGTTAGTGGACGCCGCCAGCCTGCACAAATAAACTATAGCCTGAAATACGCGAAAATAATACATGACCAAGCTTTTTTGTTAGACTTAGACAAACTTTATTGATGCACGAGGGAAATTGTTTGGACACAGAAGCTCACACATCATAAAAGCAGTAGCTCAATTAGTAGAGCATTCACCCACTGATCTGAAGGTTGGCGGTTCGAATCCAGCTCTTGACATAAACATCTGACCCACATCATCATGTGGGTCAGATCCACTGATCCACAGGTTGGCTGGTGTGATTCCAGCTCCCACAGATGAATGCTGTCGTTGTGTCCTTGGGCAAGACACTTAACCCACCTTGCCCACAGTCTCTGCGTACACTGGTGTGTGAATGTGTGTGTGAATGGGTGAGTGGTTCCTTGTTGTAAAGCCGCTTTGAGTGTCTTGAAGGTGGAAAAGCGCTATAGAAAAATGTGACCATTTACCAATATATTATAATAACATAGAGCAAAAATATAAATCCTAATAATACATTCAAAATAAGTAGCAAAAATGGCAACGTACCCTAACCTAACCTTACCCTACTCAGTCAGTTCTGAGGTTATGCGTTCATTTTTACCATTTACTCCATATGACAGCATCAGTTTGGCTGTATGAAACTACAGAGGGAACACACCCTGAATGACAGTCAGAGTGAACACCCCAATAACTAAATTTCACACTGACGAAGGCCGGTTTAGATTCACTAACATTTAACTGTCTGACAATAGGGCGGCATAGTAATCAAGCAGCAGATTTTGGTAGTTCTGAGAAGATTACCGATGAACACATATTACATAGTCAAATATCCTGACAGGTAGATGATATTACTGCACACCGCACCTCACTCCTACAATCAACATAACCTTAATACCAGTGCCTATATTACAATACCAGACACTGCAAACATCCGCACATATTGAAGCTATAATCATGTTCTACTCCAGAGCCCTGATCAGATGACTACTGCTCTCCTACACTGCACTTTGTATTATGGACCATTTCCTGCACTGGGAGCCACCATCGCATTTAACTTCTTATTACATGTTGGGTTTCCATTGTAGTAGCAGACTTGACAGCTATCACACTTCAAGGTTTGCGCCCCATTCATAAACTCAAATCCTTCCTTTGCTTTTCATGCCATGCACAATTGACTTTTTGAGCTTTAAATTGCTATAATGTCATATATATCAAAAACAATCCGTCTATCATTCATTCATTCGTTTTTCAATATAAAACCAAAAATAAGAAAACAAAAAAAACAACTATTTTCTTCATTATTTGTCTCCAAAACCAAAATGAAAAAACAGGTAACGATTCTTTTTTTTTCTTTTCGATTTTGTGTTTAAATGAAAAATGGAAAAAAACGGATAATGGTGGTTTCCCGTTTCCATGACTTAAACTGCGATGCTGGACTGAACCAGGATTGAAAAAGGACTGAACCGTTTTCAGTGCTGGTCTGGTCCCGGTCTCAGTCCCGGTCTCAGCCCTGGTCTGGTCCCAGCCTCAATACCGGTCTCAATCCCAGTCTCAGTCCCGGTCTGGTCCCGGCCTCAGTCTCGGTCCCTGTCTCGGTCCCGGTCTTGGTCTGATCCCGGTCTGGACACGGACCTGTTTTAGTCCTGGTTCAGTCCTAGTTTAGTCCGGTATCGCAGTTTAAGGCACATAAACGGGAAACGGCCATTATCCATTTTTTTTCAATTTTTCATCTAAACACAAAATCGAAAACTGAAAAAACAAATCGTTATCTCTTTTTTCATTTTGGAGACAATTAATTTAAAAAAGTAGTTATTTTTTCCTTTTCTTATTTTCGGTTTTATATTGAAAAACGAATGAACGAGTGATACACCGATTAAAAACATACCTGGAGTTTGTTTTTTTTAATACAATCATCTTCTTAAGCCCTAAAAAATGCTAAGTTTACATACTACCCAGATTGTTGCATCACAGGTAAAACTATGAACTTCTGTGCGATATTTAAGCCCATAAATCTTCACCAGACTCATCCTATGGTCAAATGTTTACGAAGAATGCGTGGCTCTATTAGCAGAGCATTCACAAGGATAAGGACTTCATTTTTTTACTTTGCAATTGTTCATTTCTATTGGTTAGTAAATTATAATGTATATTTTTGATAATAAAGTATATTTTTGCTATGTAGTCATTTTAAAGTTACCCTGTGTGCTTTCTGGAGCTGGCGTGTCAACTCCAAACTAGACTATAGACCATAAAACATGCCATGCGTAGATATGTTTTATAACAGACTTAACCAAAGGAGCAACATTTCCATGGAAATGAGCTGGAAGAGGCCCGTCTTTCAAGCCAAGTAAGAGTCAGATTTGTGTAAGCACGCAAGGACACATGTTTTTAAGTTTTTTTAGTGCAATTAACATAACCAAAATGAAAAAAAAATAACAAACATGGTTTTATATTACTCATTTTTTGTCTAATAGTTGCATACTGTGACTTTAAGCTACAAAATGTGAAAAAGTTAACCACATTGAACAAAAGCATTGCTGAAAGACAATTAAAGCCACAAGAATGCTTAATATTGTGTTCATTAAAACCATCAATTCATGGCCTCTTCTTCTTCTCTTTCATGTCTGCCCCGTGCCGCATGCTAAACCGGAGGTAGTTTGGATCTGATAGCTTCCAGGTCTCCATGTTTGAGTCGTAATGAGTCTGGCCACGGCTACAACTACATCCCTCCCTCCCCCTTTACTTTGTCTTTCTCCGTCTAATCTGACAGCTCCCTCGCTCCGGCCCGAACGTTGTATACATAACACTAATGCTAGGCAGCTTTGTAAACATATAACTCGTAGCAGTAATCAGGAACAAGAGCGAGCGGAGGCGGCGCTGTCCAATGTGCTCGCCGTGCGTTTATGAAGCTAATCAAAGTTGTTTAACTGCGCCTGTCGCGAAGCATGCACGGTTCAGAGTGTGGTGTGGTTTTATGATGGATATAAGTTAGGATAACAAGATCTCATACTGTGCAAATGGAAGCCAAATGCTGCCTGTGTATAGGGCCAGCGGAGACATTAGCCATGCAAGAGAAGGGTAATCGCTACAGCGTCTCACATGTGATCTCTTCCTCATGTTCTACTCTTTGGGGCTCTGTTACATTGGATATGAGACCTGTGAGTTATTCCTGCTCCAACAAGAAACTTTTCCCCCGCTAAGATGAGGTAATTAAACTGTAACACTAGATTAGACAAGTCAAATAAAACAAGTTTCAGCACCAGGCCAGTACGGTAGTAAGGGTGATATCGAATGTTGCTTAGGCTACTGGAGATTACTGGTTTAGTCTATGTCAGTGTGGGGCTTTGATCTGGCCAATTTATTACCTAGAGCCTCCCCTCGATTTAATTTCTCTTCAGCGACTAGGTCAGGAATCAGAATACACTAGACGGTTCGCAAAAACCCCAGAAGTTGTAGACTTTGCACTGGCCAATCATCGAAGAGCTGCGAAGCCATGACGTTGAACTCGAGCGCCTGTCTGGGTCCTTTTTGTGGTTCAGCACAACAGTAAACAAAGAGGTCGAGATGGATGTAGACGAAGACAATACATTCTGTGTTGGCAACAATTCCTGAGATCGAGGATTTAAAGCTGGAACAAAGAGAATGTTTGGTGAATTTTATCAAGGGGAAAGACGTTATTGCCCTTCTTCCTACGGGATTTGGCGCATTACATACATCACGACCAAATAGCGGCAATTGATTAAATAAAAAAAGTACCTACTATCGAGCGAAACAAATCCTAATGCTGCAAGGTCAGACATTTTCCACAAACTGAAACCGGCTGATGAATCAGGCTAATGTTAAGGGGCTTATATTATGTAAAATTTACTCTTGTTTAATTCACACATGTTTGAGAACTGTTAATTATTAGTCTGTTTACATCAACAAAGCTCAAAATGCTCTTTGTAATCTCATGAAGTGGTAGTTTTCAAGTTAACAGCTACCGTTTACCTTTTGTTCTGTATAAATTACCAATTCCAGTCTTAATAAGTCAAAATAATTCCTCTGAAAGTGTATGGAGTTTAAAAACATAGTGGAGCACTTCCTGTGTTACCACATAAGGATGTAACAATAACTGAAATGATAATCTTGATATTGTATCATCAAAAATCTCTAAATAATATCGTGGGCTGTCACAATATATCGAATTACACGTTTCTCTGCCTAAATTCATTGTTATGATGCAGCAAAAGCTAAAAAATACAGAGGGAACTACATAGACCATGATCCTTTGCTCCATTTCAGTGCAGACTACATGAAGAAATAACTGTTCTAAGCGCTTTTAAGTCTTAGTTCTACAAATATCGCAATAAATTTGGTACTGTGAAGTGTATATCGTGAAAATATTGTACCGAGAGATGACATCACAAGGTGGAACAGAGTGTTTTCTTTTAAAGAGAAGAACTCACACCAAATATATGCATTATATTGTCTTTTTAACGAGTGTGAATGAAACAAAACACAACTCCAGGTTTGTTTTAAAGAGGAAACAACATTACAACATAATATGAGCCGTTTAAGTTGTGATCGCAGTGCAGTTAAAATACGACTCCATGCTACACTAGATTTTATATTGTATGTGTTCACAGTGCAATAATTTTTTGGTGACCTTTTCCTTATGTTCCTGCTGGGGCTTTAGATGCATTACACATTCAGTTTGCGAGCCTGGCCCCTGTGTCTAAACCAAGGCCCTTTCTATCCCCTTCCCCTCTTTCACTCCTTCCTTCCTCCCTCTGTTTTTAAGCTCTCTCTCTTTGTCTCATTGTTCGGCGTAGGGTCCTTTAGAGGTGGCCCAAGTCTTCCTGAATGAGATCCCAGCCGACCCCAAGCTGTTCCGTCACCACAACAAACTGCGCCTGTGTTTCAAAGAGTTCATAATGAGGTAAGTTCAGCTCAAAGTCACTCCACCTGTAATAATAATATATGTTCCACCATTTCCAGTAAATAACAACTTTAAGTTCATTTGTAGAACGACTTTCATAACTCTCATAAACCACAGTTTCAAGTCAGTAAAAATACATGGAAAGAACTTTATTTCTATTTATTATTAATATTCATAATTCATAAATAATCCCCAAACCCCCATACACCCCATTTGCTCTGTGCTAGTTGTTGTTGTTATTTGTATCTGTATCTGTTCTCTGATTTTTTTTATTTTACACATGGGATTCATGAGTGACACAAAGACATTTTGGCACAAATAAAAAAAAAAAAAAAGAATGTGTACTTCAGCTGATGGTCAGGCTGGTCCAGTGGTACATAATGACATTACAGCTCGTGATCTTATGGTCCATTTGGGGCTGTACCAGATCATCAAAGCCTGATCCTGTCAGATCTCAGAAGCTGAACAAGGCCGGGCCGGGTTACTACTGTGATGGGAGACCGCTGATGGGAGTGCCAGTCGCAAAAACGTTTGTTGTGTCCTTCGGCAAGACACTTCACCCACATTGCCTAGTATGAAAGTGGTGTGCGTGAGTGTTAGTGGTGGTCGGAGGTGCTGATGACTGAGATTGGCTGCCTCACTTCTGTCAGTCTGTCGCAGGGCAGCTGTGTTTACAATAGTAGTTTACCCCCTCTGTGTCTGGAGTGAAGGAATAATGCTCTGCAAAGCTATTTGAGTGCCCAGAAAAGCGCTGTATAAAACAGATGCATTATTATTATTAAACTGGCAGGTGGAAAGTGGCTCAGCAGTTTTAACCTGATAATCAAAAAATTTGTTTCTTTGTTGTCATTTTAGATTACCGTATTTTCAGGGCTATTAGGCGCACTCTTAAGCCTCTAACACTATCAAAAAATGACCGCACGCCCCGCAAGCCAGAGCGCCCTATACACGAAATCCACTCTGGTGTCCCAGCACGACTTCAGTAAACTACAAAGCCGCACCACCCGCAGCGCACGCAAACACACACGGAGCAGACAGCGACCGCACAGCGAAAAACACCCACAGCCACACTCATCACTCCACGCAGACGAGGAATGGAACGGAGGAACGAACTGAAAAAGCGAGTGCAATGTGCCACTCTGAGCCACAACTGAGTCACTGCGAACACGCCAACAACCCAGCGGTCCCAGACAGCACCCTCCCTACACGCCACAACTGAACAAAGCCCAGAATCACCTTGAACGAGCCAAACAAAGTCCCACTGACCCATCCAACTGTTGTGTTTTGTTTAAAGTCCAGTGCGGTTTATTTGTGAAAAAAGTTCGAAAATAGACCATTTGATGACAGTGCACCTTATAATCCAGAGCGCCTAATAGCCCGGAAAATATGGTAATATTGTTTTTTTTTATGTAAAAAAATAATAATGATCCATTTGTGTCATAGATTATCACTACATAGCCGACTAAAGCATTGTCATCAGGTTATCTTTGATTTAGAATTTACAAAATTTAACTAAAAAGTCATTGTTTTCAAGATAAAAAAAGTTCGTGGACGGTACAGTAATTCTACATTTGGGAATCATAAAAAAAACTACTGAGAGTACACCATGTTAGCTCCAGCTTCTTGAGGAACCACCAAGAGACCAGCACCAGCAGACCTCCAGGAGGTTAGCATGTCCATCAAGAACTGGACCTGTACCATTGTAATGAAGCCAATGTAATCCTCTTAATACTGGGGTAACATGATGTCCTTTTGAGGATTTTACTGACAGCCCTGGTCCCTGGCTGTGGTTTCCTGTATTAGTTACAGCTGCCCGAGAGTGAGACGTAAACAGCAATGACAGGTCCCTTTTGAAATGTACTGTAATCCTAAAAAGAGTTATTTGACCAGCGTTTGCATTTCTTCTTATTGTTGCGGAGCCTGGCACAGAGGGAGTGGGTGGAAGTAAGGAACAATTGCTCAGAGTTTTCAAAGCAGAGGAGGTTTTCTAAAGATTTGAAGTGACAAAGCCTTTACGATTCTGTAATGTGTATGCAATTACTGGCATTAGTGTGGGAGGAAGAGAGAGTGGCCAAGACACTAAAAATACAGCATTCCTGATCCTAACATTGTATTTCTTTTCATATTTTCCTTTAATGCTAGCTTCACAATTGTTTGGTTTATAAACTTTTAGCCAAATTGGATTTTAGTAAGGATAGGCAGGTATCATTCATTGTCCTCCATAATGAAAATTATCCTGCATTTGACTTGCCTGTTGGTGCAGGATTGGTATATCCCTAATATGGCAAGCCTGGTTACATTGTGCCCACAACAGAGTTAATAAATCCTTAAAGTGACCACAGATGACCACCAGAGCACAATCAAAGCACTGCAAGAATGGATGTACAAACCTGGCTGAGAGCAAACTTACTGAACTTAAACCAAAATAAAACTGAGATTGTGGTGTTTGGGCACACTAACCCACAACTTGGGCGGGACATTGTGATTGGTCCTCTGTCCTCCTGTTGTCTCCCTGCAGTGAGTGATTGTGTGATTGTGGACTCTTTGTTCAAACTGGACAAGCACATTAGCGCTGTGATAAAGTCCAGCTTCTTTCAGTTGAGGCTCCTCGCTAAAGTAAAGCCCAACCTCCCTCAGGCGGATTTTGAAAAAGCTATCCATGCTTTTGTAACATCACGCCTGGACTATTGCAATTCTTTGTATGTCGGGTTGGACCAGGGCTCCCTGCAGCGCTTACAACCACGTCCAGAACACTGCAGCTCATCTGCTGACAAATACTAAGAGACGAGCACACATTACACCTGTGCTGGCTCCCTGTCTTATATAGGATGCACTTTAAAATGCTATTAATTATTTTCAAATGTTTGCACTCTATGGGTCCAGTCTATTTGAGGGATTTGCTGCAGCCCTGTACTCTGTCCAGCGCCCTGACATCAGCTGACCAGCTCCTGTTGGTCGAACCCAAAACTAGGCTCAGGATGAGAGGTGACAGAGCCTTTTCTGTGGCAGCGCCCAGACTGTGGAACAATCTTCTTCTTCCTGTCAGATCCTCTCAGTCTGTAATGCTGTTTAAGACTAGACTGACAACTCACTTCTCCCTGGCATTTAGTACGAGCTAGTCAGGTTATCTTGGTGTTTTTATTGTAGTTTTCATGTTATCTGTATATATGTATATGTAAATGTTTCTTCTGTTTTGTTGACTTGTATGTGAAGCACTTTGGTCAGCTGAAGTTGTTTTAAATGTACTATATAAATAAACTTTAATTGAAATTGAAAATCCTCAAGCTAAGGTAGACCTGACCAAGTCTAGCTCAAGATCTGGATATGGGTCCCCTGCTCCTGACAGGTGGCACCAATGGCATTGAAGTCAAATGCAAAACACACATTTCCTTATGGTGACAAAGAATAATACCTTGTCTTACCTTATTCTTGATTCTTCTTCTTTTTTAAGACTAAGGTACAATTTATTTGGCCAAGCTGGTGCCATCTAGTGCCTCCGCTCAATTTCATTTCTCTCCAGCGATTAGGTCAGGAATCGGAAAACACTAGACGGTTTGCAAAAACTACATAAGTTGTAGACCTCGCATCGCCCAATCAGAGAAGAGCTGTGAAGCCATGACGTCAAACTCAAGCGCCTGTCTGGGTCCCTTTTGTTGTACAGCACAACAGAAAACAAAGAGGTCGAGATGGATGTAGACGAAGCCATACATTCTGTGTTGGCAACGATTCCTGAGATTGAGGATTTGAAGCCAGAACAAAGAGAATGTTTGGTGAATTTCATCAAGGGAAAGACGTTATTGCCTGTGGGATTTGGCGCATTACATTCGTCACAACCAAATTGGCAATTGGTTAAATAAAAAAGTACCCACCTACTGTCGAGCGAACGAGTCCTGATGAAACCGGCTACAATTTATTGTCCCCATGGGGAAATTTGTCATCTGCATTTGACTCGTCCTTCAATGCCACTGTAACATCTCTCAATGCCGCAGTGGGCGTGAAATCCCGCACCTGGGACCCCATCTCCGTGATCTTGTTGCTCGGATTCGTCAGGACTACCTCAACTGGAGGATTTTACCTACGGTGCATGTTCTGGGTTGATGATGGGCTCACCCAAACACAGGGAGATGCAAACTCAACCACCATGTCACCACAAATGTACTTTATTTCTTTTGCTTTCATAGTGATGCATAGATCATTTGCCTGCACAAGAACAGCTTGTATCTGAACACCTCTTTATGCACAACAGAGTCAAAAGTCCCAGTGGCCACCAAACAGTTTAAAATGCAAAGGTTTATTTTTTTCCCCCAGAACTGAATTTAATATTTATCACATAATTTAAAAGTCCTCCCTCACATATTTCATTTGTGGAATACTCATTTTTGTAACAGCTGTGAGTGTATGTGTCTGTTTACTCATCTCATGGTCAGGTTGTGTTTGCCCGCTGAAGGTGGTTTTCATTTTCCCAGCCTCGTGTCAAATTCCCCCGGCCGTGATTGCTACAAGCAGGTTGACAAATATTTACTGTAATTTCAGATCGGTTTGTTTTCGTCCTAAATCCATGGACCCTCTGAATGTCAGTGTTTATCTGAATGAATTGGTCTAAAAAGCTCGTCCTTAGTCACGCACTTCACGGGCTAATTTGAGATTGACTAATGATTTTTCAGATTTTTGTTGTTGTTTATGGAAATGTGGAGCAAGGAGTTAAAAGGTGCACTAGGTAACTTTTGTGGTGGAGGATTTGTCAAATGCTTGTCTTCATGGAGATGTCACTGCTTTGTCTGAAATCTTCTGGCATTTAAATGACCCTTTTCCATTGAGACAAGCAGGTGACATTACAAGGCCAAGTTACAATTCAGATCTGAAGAAAACAGCCCTGATCTCAGTAAGATGAGATGTTTTAAAGATACTTTTAAAATGCCTGTAATAGAATCAATGCAAGATAGATTTAATGCCATAATCTGGAACATTCGTAGCTTGATTCATCAGCCGGTTTCACTTAGTTTCACTTTGTAGAAACCGATTGACCTGGCAGTGTTAGAATTAGTTCGCTTGACAGTAGGCGGGTACTTTTTTTTTTTTTTAAACAATAATTTATTGTCTTTTTAACAAAACAGAACAATACAATATAACCCAGCACAGCTTAGTCTGCATAGAAATGGATAAAGATGGATAAAGATTGTCACAAGGTCTGAGTCAGAGCTAAAATGAAAAAGAAATGAACATTGCACAATTATTGATTAAAATTAAAAACAAATTGGGAGCCTCCTTTATAAAGCACATCAGCCAAGTCCTGAGGTAGGTGGTCCAGAAAGGGTTGCCATATTTTATAGAAAGTGTTTGAATTGCAGGCGGGTACTTTTTATCATTTAACCAATCGCTACTATTTGGTCGTGACGTATGTAATGCACTGCTAACGGGGCTAACTGGTATATTAAGCTTTTCCCAAATACCATAGGAAGGCAATAACATCTTTACCCTTGATAAAATTCATTAAAAATTATCTTTGTTCCGGCTTTAAATCCTTGATCTCGGGAATCGTTGACAACACTGAATATATGACTCTTCGCTGATTGGCTGGTGCCCGAACTTACACTTCTGGGGTTTTTGCGAACCGTCTATTGTATTTTAATTCCTGACCTAGTCGCTGGAGAGAAATTAAATTGAGATACTAAGTGGACATTCGAGGCAAAGCAGTAATACCTCTGTGGAGACAACCAAGTGGCAGACTCCCCATCTGAAAAAAGTTGCATAGTTGAACCTTAAAGATTTGCAAAAAAAATATAATTATTAGTGAAATCACCATGTTTGGCACATAAAAATGGCACATACATTTATACATAACCTTTCTTAGTTTATTAACTGTTGAGGACACAAACAGTTTATCATAACTATGGATCTATAATTGACTTTGAGGTTGTTTCCCTTGACCCCCACAGTCTTAAATGCTTAACTTCCTTGTACTTACTGTTTCCGGACATTTCCATATTAGCCCCATGAAAAGCCTATGACATAAACCTGACATGTGTAAGCAATCTGCCCTGTCTCTTGGATTTCCTGCAGTCTCGACATTGCCCGTTATAATGTAAATCTTATGACACTAATTTGTAAGAAGAGCCCTGTGCCCACCGCTGCTATTCTTAGTTCTGTGAAATCCTTATTATTGTAAAGGTTTCTCTTTTATACTATAAATCGTAGTATCGCACTGAATCATTATTGATTGAACGACCTTGTCAGTGATAGACAGTTCAATCATATTCTAAGAAAACCTTGCTTTCTCGTAGGGGTGGGCGATGTGTCAAGAATTCACAATTTTTCAGTGCTCAGATCATAACTTTTATTTTAACACTTACCTAAAGAGAAAAGTATTGCCTTCAGGAAGCCACTAAAACAATGAGCTGTTGATCGGTTTACCCCAGGGCAGCAGCTCTCTCCCGCTGTGTGAGGAGTAAATGAATAATGACAATTTAAGAGGCTTGTCAGACTTCTATACAATATAATACTGTTTAATTGTTAAAAAATATAACTTCTTTAAAAACCAGTCATAATAACATTTTAATTCATACAGTTTTTCATCTTGCAAATTTTGTTAAAAGGGCATTATGTAACTTTTCTAGTGTACGGTTCACCTCCAACTTGTCTTCTTATGCTGTATGATATATGAAGGTTCCACGGTAAAGCATATTCTCTCGGTTTGATATTATCACGATATGCATCTCACGGTACGATATTTATTGCGATATTTTGGAGAGGCTGATATAATTATAGATAGGACACTTTTTTGCTTTTAAAATACCCTGGCAAAATTTTTGTGTGAATTATTTCCATCATAATCCCAAGAATTCAAGTAAAAAACATATTTCTTCATGTTGTCTGTGCTGAAATGAATCATGGGATATGTAGTTCCCGATATTTATTAGCTATTACAGGTGTAAAACCATGCATTTAAGCAAAGGAACTTGCAATTCGATATATTGTGATTGGCCCACGATATTACTGTGAGATGTTTGACGATACGATATCACGATATTTCGGTTATTGTTACATCCCTAATATTCACAGAAACAAACCAGGCCAAGTTACACATCAGATCTGTGGAGAGCTGACCCTGCTCACTGTAAAACTTGCACATTATTTTTAGTAATTAACAAACTGTAATTGGATACATGCAGTGTTGGGGAGTAACAGATTACATGTACCAGCGTTACGTAATCAGAGTACAAATTATGAGTAACTGTATTCAGTTACAGTTACTGTTTCAGTGAGTGGTAATTGGATTACAGTTACTTTGTTGAAATAAATGGATTACATGGTGGTGTTTTCCTGTTTTCGCATTTTGGGCTAAGCCAGGACTAAAACCAGGACTCAAACCAGCACTAAAACCAGGTCTAAACTAGGCCTAAACCAGGTCTAAAGTAGGCCTAAACCAGGTCTAAAACCAGGTCTAAACCAGGACTAAACCAGGTCTAAACAATATGACACTAACAGTAGGTGGACATAATTTAAAGCAGCAGTGATCTCATATAAAAATCGTTTCTCTGTCAATAATATTTTTAATATGTTTAAGTAAAGTCTGGGCTTTTTATTGTCTTTTAGCAAACAAAACATCTTATGTTAACAGATCCTAGTCTTTGCTTCTCCACAGATCCTAGTCTTTGCTTCTCCACAGTAAAACAAAAGTCTGTTCATGGAGACTTTGACTCAACAGACAATTTGAAGAGAACAAACAAGAATTTTCAGTATGTGGTTGCTACATTCATGTAGTTTTAAAAAGCATGACGATATCAAGTAATCCAAAGTATTCAGATTACGTTACTCACTTTAAGTAAGTGAATGGTTTACGTTGCAAACTACATTTTGGGGTATGTAATCTGTAATCTGTAGGGGAATACATTTTAAAAGTAACCTTCCCAACACTGGATATATGCAACCTAGATTATATTAATGTCATACCTTGGAACATTCCCAGCATTGTGATGACATCTCCACGGAAACAAGCCTATGATAGTTAAATAAATAAATAAATAAATAAGTAAAGACTTGTTTGCTTTGTGTTTCCTGTAGATGCGGGGAGGCAGTGGAGAAGAATAAGCACTTAATCACCTCAGACCAGAAGGAATACCAGCAAGAACTGAAAAAGAACTACAACCGCCTGAGAGAAAACCTGCGGCCGATGTTGGAGAGGAAGATTCCCGAGCTGTATAAACCCATCATCCGACCGCGACTGGAAAACAGGTAAACACCATGGCAACCGGTAAACACCACTGCAACAGGTAAACACCACGATAACAGCCAATAGTATCTGACCAGGGCTGACAAAACACGCCGCATCGATCTTTCCATCACTGCTATGATTGTAACACCAGCCCAAAGTGAGAACAAATGGATCCATTCATTTGTGTGTGTCACCTTCGCACATATTGATGACTGCAGCACAACAACAGAGACCACAATAGAAGCACTTTAAAGGGCGTTTAGCTGAACTTTAAGCTTTTAGTCACTGATAGAAAGAGTACTGCGAGTTAGTACTTAAGTAAAACTATAAAATCTGCATGAAAACACTACTCAGAGTACTAGTTACTTTTTTGATTACTTACTTGATACTTCCTTGATTAATACAACTGTTTACATTATGCGTATTCTCTGTAACTTCGAGATAAAAAGCTAGTGTTTTTAAGCATTATTTATATCAATCAGCGGTGGGGACTTGTGAGTCGTGACTTGGACTCGAGTCAGACTATCAGTATTTTTAGGACATGAGACTTGACTTGATAAAATGGACTAAGACTTGGGACTCGACTTGGATTTGAAGCCTGTGACTTGAGAAGACTTGGGAAACACTTTTAAATCTGAATTCTTTCTGTTCTGACCGTAATGATTCACACTAAGATCTTGTCAAGACATTTCAAAAGGAAAAATTAACCAAATTAATTTCTACAACTCATATATACTCTTTAAATGCTAAATATACCATGACTTTTTAAGTACAGTTTAGTTTAAGTCATATAAATTGCAAAAATCTGAGCTATATTTGATACTTAGGTTTAAAGACTTGAAATGACTTGAAGCTCAAAGCAAATAACTTAGACTTGATTTAGACTTATGGGTCAGTGACAGGATATTCGACTTGGACTTGCCTGTATTTGATTTGGCACTTGACTTGGGCTTGCGGTCAAAGACTTGAGACTTACTTGAGACTTGCCAAAGAACGACTTGGTCCCATCTCTGATATCAATTCATTCACAAATATTGGCAACAGAAGGTGATGGATATATGACTTAGACTTAGACAAACTTTATTGACCCACAAGGAAAATTATTTAGACACAGTAGCTCATGTATCACAATATAATATAATAACAAAGTGTGAAAATATAAATGCTAATAATACATTCTAAATAAGTAGAAAAATAGCAAGGGACTGGTGTCAAATAAGACATAATTATATAAATGTTCATGTACAAGTCTAAATAAAATAGAAGATAAGTAATAAAATATAAAATCACTGCTTGCAAGGCTTACTTTGTTTACAGAAATCTATTATCAGCTATTTTTTCATGCATAGATATTACATTTTTGTAATATTGGTGTCCAGCATTATGAAAGAGGATCCATTGGTTTGAGTGATGGAAAATTAGTACTGTTGCCATGGCAATTAACAGTTCAAAACAAAAATAATTTAAATGGATTCTTCAATTTAGCCTCAAGTCTTGAATTATGTTGAACATTGTAACCAGTCAGACTTGAGTCACTATTTTTAGGACTTGAGACTTGACTTGATAAAATGGACTAAGACTTGGGACTTGACTTGGACTTGAAGGTCAATGACTTGGGACTTGGACTTGAGCCGTGTCACTTGAGAAGATTTGATGCTTCTACTAAAACAATATAAATGTTTTTAGAAAATAGTTGATACATGCAGTGCTGAATTTTACACAAAACAAACTGGAACATGTCCCTCCCACTTCTGTTTTTTACTTTGGACATAAATGAAGTACTGCGATGTGGTGTCATCAAATGTACTACAGTAATATACAATACAACACAGTAATATAAAGTACAATACAGTAAAACAGAGGGAACTACATAAAACATGATCCTTCCATTTCAGACTAAATGGCAAAATAACTTAAGCACTTTTAAATCTGAATTAATAGTTCAGTAATGATTCACACTAAGATCTTGACAAGGAAAGGAAAAAATAGCATTTCTACAACTCATAAATAAATAGTCATATAAAAATATATCATGACCAAGTATAATTTAGTTTAAAATTCATATAAATTGCAAAAATCTAAGCTATAGTTGGTACTTTGGTTTAAAGATTTGAAATGACTTGAAGCTCAAAGCAGACGACTTGGGCTTGACTTGGACTTGCCTGTATTTGACTTGAGACTTGACTCGGACTTGAGTTCAAAGACTTGAGACTTGCAAAACAATGACTTGGTCCCACCTCTGGTAGTGACAATGAATCATAAAATATTGTATATGTGCGTGAGTGTGTCTTGGCTTCTTAACATAAACTCTGTTTTCCTCTACTCCACCTGTCTCTCTTCCTCCTCCCATTACTCATTGCTTATCTCCACCATCTCCTCTCCCTCTTTTCCGATCTCCTGTCCATTCTGACTCACAGGGATTCCTTCAAACGCCTAAGTTTCCGCCGTAATGCCGAAGAAAACTCGTGAGACGCACGCCACGCTTTCTCTGGTTCTGCTGTGGAAAGGAAGGGGGAACTGTCACAGCGCTGAGAAAATAACAAGGAACAGTGAACATAGTATTTTGTGTTATCTGTCGTAATCTTGTGGTTACTAGATGCAGAGGTACAACTTCAAAACCAATGTGTAGTTTATCCAGGGGTTTCAGAATGATGCAAAGATAAGAGTTCAAAAACTAAATATTCCATGTGTTGAATGGTCCTCAAAATGGCACCATATAACGAGAAGCTGGAACCAGTGAAAAGGTTGAGTTCACAAAAAAAATCGTAATGTATTTTTAAATGTTATAAACTAAAAGTGGCACAGACTTGGTCAAATTTGTTGAACCAATTTTAATTTCAGTGTGTGTGGATTTTATGTTAAGTGATTTCTATTAAAAACAGTCAATTCCCCATAGAGTTTTATTGATACAACATTTCCTGGCAGTGCGATGCTAATTATAGGCACTGCTCTGTCTGAAGTTGTGTTATTCATGTTAGATTTTATTAACCTGAGCTTTGTTTAAACACAATCCGATCATAAAAAAGTTGACTTAGCCGGAGTTACAACAGGTGAGCTGATTTGTGCTTTGGACAAGTCAACAGTTTTTCTCACCTCTTACGTAAACGGGACCATAAACGCTCATAACGATCCCAGACGCTGAAAATATTTAGTTTAAATCCATTTTGTGTTCTTTCTTGAGTTTTCAGACAATGTTAAAACTTGTTTGACAGTCCTAATGTGCGGGCTTTCCTTCAGAGACATGCAAGCAGAACATGTCAATAAATTACATCAAATTCAAGTGAACACAACCTATTCACATCCTAATCATCAAATGCAGTTTTTTTTTTTTTTTTACAATCTTATCCTAATGTATGCTGCAAACTTTTTTCATTCGGTCAAAACAGCCAGAGAGATCTAACCCAGGACCCCACGTCTCCACCTTTTGTGCATATGTATTACGTCTAATATATAAGAAAATATATTTTGGTGCCGTACTTAAGTCACTTTGTATTCAGTGATGATAGATGATTTTGCTATGCTGTGTGCCTCTGGATATTCCACTTTGGGCATTTGAACATAATGTATGCTGGTGAGAGCAGAGGCAAAATAGAGATACAAATTTAGTGTCAAAGTTTAGCACCGTTCCCATTCGTTTTAGCGTGACAGCGTTTAAAAATGTTTGTTGCAGAATACAATTGTGGATTAAGACGTATCTCTTGACTAGAATTCTCCAACTAAACCCCATTTTGTATTTTGTACAGAGAAAATAGTTTGTTTACAAAGATTTATGAAACTATTTTATTTTACCGTATTTTAGCTTTAAAATAATAGCAATAATGTATAATATTTAGTAGTCTCATTGTTTTTAGTAACTTTCTGTAAATAAGCCACATTCAACACCAGTGCCAAATGCAGTCATTACTAATGGTATAATAATATATTGTGTTTAAAATAGTTTTTCTCAAGAACATTCCAGAGTAAGTTGCATTGAAATAATCATATTTTAAGAGTAATATCTCACAATGACGATGTTTTAAGCGTATACCATTACTCAGTCTTTCCTAGTGCTTCCAGGTACAACAGTTTTTAGTGTTAAATACTTTGATGAGTATTATGTGTTTAGTTTTATTCCATTTGAAACAATTTTGAAAAGCACACGATGTAATGTACAGGCATTTTGTGTTAAATGAATGGCACTCAACCACTGGATTTGTATTTTAAAATGTGTTCTTATTCCTCAGTTTGTATGTTTATGTTGTATTTTAACAATTGTTTTTAACGTGTCTGTACAGTGATCAGAGCAGCTAAATAAATTTTAATTTATGCTCAATTGGATGTCTGTTTATTATAGTGTTGTATCTATTTGTACAATAAAAAAACAACATGAAGCTTACTTTTGCAAATATAGAAAGTATATTTAAAAGTCTATTTTACTTGATCTGATATAATTTTAAATGAAGACAGAGACCTGATACTTTTTTATTTTATTTTATTTTATTTTTATTTAGGACTGTAATTAATTCATGCACAGTTGAATGTCTAATTAAATGTTTAGTTAGCCACAGTCTCAAGTTATATAGCCTATGTACATTTAAAAAAAAAAAAAAAAAAAAAGTGCTTTATAAAGTTTTGACTCAACTGATAAACATTTTACTTAAATTTGGCAAAAAGTTTTATTTTTGAGCACTGAATCTCATAAAGTAGTAAGTAAAGAACAGATTCTAATAGTGATGTTCACATTTGAGAGCCACAAATTAAAGGGAGAACAAAAAACTACAAAACATTTCACCGTCGCAGTATGATGACGTCATCTCTCCGGGACGCGGACACCGGTGAATTTGAGGAAAAGGGAGGCAGGCATGGAGTTCTGTGGAGGCAAGCGGCTGTGAGCTGATGTCCAGCGGAATGTGAGTGTCTTGGAGAGATATTAATCCATAAACAAGATAATTTTACGCTGTTAGATTCCACCTGGTCCTGATTTGAACGTGGAATGAGACGACAGTGTGTTATTATGTGAAGTAAAGTGACAGTCGAGCCTCAGCCCCGTGCAAAGTCAAAGTGCTTTCAAGTTGTTTTCAGTTTCCCACGTGAGTTTTGGTTGGATGACCAGATTTTTTTTTTAAATAAAAAACTCTGACATCCCCGTTTTTTGGTGGTTGGTAATAATAAAATGAATGTGAAACGAGTGCATAATTATCAGTAAAATTGTTACGCAGAGACCATTCATGACTAACATGTGAGCCAGTATAGTCACATTTTCTTTTGTTTTGGTCATTTTTAAGCAGATTTTTTTATATTTTACCTAAACAATGTACAATTTATGCCTCTTTTTACTGTTGGCAAGTATCAAATTGATCAAAAATAGCGACACCTGGGACATTTCTTGTGTAAAACTGGGACAAATCAGCTGGGACAGGGGACACAGGGCTCAAAACTGGGACTGTCCTGGGTCAATAGGGACATCTGGTCATACTAGTTTTGCATGTGCACATTACCAAGACACAACAGTTATAACTGAACTGATGACTCTGTATTAGTCAAATGTCTTTCAATGAAATTAAAACTTTTGTTATTTTTGGCTGTACATGCAAATGGAATTGGTTTATTTCATTATTGTATGAGTTGTGAGGCTAATTAAATCTAAACTAACTAAATCTATTTATTTATTTATATATGACTATCCATGGGGTTCAGAATGATGAAAAAGTTAGCACAGTTTCCGTAGCACTTCATAACTTTTTAAAATATATATTTTGAATGGGGAAAAGGTCTTGTAATTTTGTATAAACCAGGAAGCTGAAACCCTTGCTTAAGTTTATCATAGCCTATCATAATTGTCTCTTTTTTGGCGGTAATTAAACGTAAATATATGTTAACACTACATTATTTCCTGTCTGTCTGTAGTGATGATACTATTCCTGGTTTCCCAACATGGAGGCTGACACAGAGCTGGACCCGGACACTGACGACCTCCCTCTCAGAGCCAACACCAAACACATCCTGGTCCGCCATTACGTTCTGGATCTGACCGTCCACTTTGACAGGAGAGTGATCAGTGGGAATGTGGTGCTATTTCTGGAGCCCACTGAAGCAGAGGCAGAAGGAGAAGAGACAGGTGGAGAGACAAGAGCAGGAGAAGAGACAGGGGAAAGGGCAGGAGCAGGAGCAGGAACACATGCAGGGGCAGGAGAAGAGATACGGACAGGGGCAGGAGGGGAGGCTGATGGACAGAGAAGACCTGATTCAGCTGGAGATGGCGTAGAGGAGTCCAGAGCTTCCGGGGAAACAGGTGAGTTTATTTCATATGACTGATGATACAGTGGTTCTTAAACTTACCCACCAAAAAAAAATCATAATATAATTCATGCCCAACTTCTGCTTCATTTGTTATCGGAATGAACATAAAAGTATTTGAGGAAAGCAATGCAGAATTTTTTATTAATGTATGATTTATGAACTATATTTATTTACTTCAAAACAGCTTGTACACCCTGGAACTCTAGACTGCATAAAGAAGTGGACTAAGAGACTGTGACGTCACTTGTAGCGTTCAGCTCCAGTCAAATGAAGCTCATCGAGGCTTGCCGTTAAAGGGTCGAATTTGTAGCAGAGTTTCATATTTGGAATTCTGACCAACAACTAGAGAACCAATCCAGAGTGAGAAGGTTGAAGGTAACGCCCCTTCCTTCTCGCACTACTAGTTTAGCACGAACCTGTCAAAATAGCAAAATAAAAATGCCAGGATCATGAAGAGTGGGTTGATATGATCATTTTAGGTCCAAAATGACAACCGTTACAGAGAGAGGGGCCACAGATTTTCAATAGAAGTAAATCGGAGCCAGAGTTTATGGAGCCAGTAACGCGCCCATGCTCACTTCTTATTTGGAAGGTGGAGGCAAGCGAGTTAACTGTTTCCCATTTGTACTGTCTGTGCCTTGAAACGATCCAAGTACCTCAGCGAGTACTAGAAATAATGTGCTAGATTTATATGGCGCTTGGACACTCAGAAATGCTTTACAATGCATTATTCATTCACTACTTACCTGATGGTGAGCTACTATTGTTGGCACAGCTGCCCTGGGGTAGACTGCACCATCACCCCCCTCCCACCCCCACCAACCACTCTGCACACACCCCATTAATGCGTAGGCACGGCGTGTGAAGAGTCTTGCCCAGGGACACAACGGCATTATGCACTGTTCTGAGCACGAATCAGATCCTTCGAGTTTTGGGTTGGTGAACAAATGCACAGACTACTGAGCCACTGCAGCTTCACAAGTATAACAATTTGAGAAACAAAGTCAAAAAATTTGAATACAAAATAGAGCTGGTTAATCACTCACATTAGAATCCAGTCGAATGCTTTTAATTGTCATATTTTGTTGTGAAATTTAAACAAAAATAAAGATTGATCAATTTGTAATTTGCAGTATCTCCCAATGTTACCCATCCCTGTCGCTAAATATTATATTGAAACAGTTTATGCCAATTATGCCAATTTATTATTGTCCATGCCAGGACTTCTGCACATCTTTCACAATTTTTTTTTGTGATTTATGTTTTCATCGATTACTTAAACAGGGGGTATTATGAAAAATAGATTTTTTGTGCTTTCTGACATGTTATAACGTTGTTCCCGTCCATGCATGTTTGAGTAATTGTGCAATCTCTTCCAGGCAGTCTTTCCTATTCGAGCCCTTCTTATGGTTAGCTGTAAGATTCTGCCCAATGCTCTGCCCACAAGCCTACGTCAGCCACGCTCCCACACGACAGTTCTCCATAAATATACAAAAACATGAAACAAAACTGTACATAGCAACTTGACAAACCTACGATATGTTTCATTAGTGGGATGCACGCGGATTGTGTTGTGGTTGCGCTCTGAAGGGGGAGTGACTTTGCGTGGGGAGCTAAGGGAAGGGAAACTGAAATGTATTAATATGCTTTCGTTGAATTTTTCATTGAATATATAGCATTTTCAAAATATCAAAAGCTAAGACGGTGATCTAAATATGTTAAATAAGCTGCAGATATGTCCCCAACTCCATCTTACTTGCAATTTCTGCCGAAATGTTGTTGATGTCCAAATAAAATTCACAATTTGCAAGTAAGACAGTGTGCAGAATTTTTCTCTGTTGATGTTCTTGGACTGCTCCTTCTCCTCCTCCAACACATCTGTTTCAAGTAATTGGTGTGCAAATTCTCATTTATTCATGCCTTTTTAAAATTTTTTTATCAGTGACAGTGATGGTAACTGTTGGTCTGGTTCCAGCTTCTTTGCACTCGTGGGAAAGCCGTGGTGACAGGGAGGACTTCACCTTGGTGCTGGACTGCTGCGACCTCTCGGTGTCAAAGGTCGAGGAAGTGGACATAACCTGCGTGTTGGGGTCGCCTGGCTGCTCGGTGCAGACAGATAAGGTCACACCTCTCAGCTCTGGGTCCGCACTCGCACACAGACTCATGTCCATGCCCTCCCAGAGCTGTAGGGGGCAGCACCAGCTCTACTCTCAGTGCAGCCGGGCCCCCTCTGTCCAGGGAGGGGGACAGCTGTGGTTTTGCACTGACCGATGGAGTCTAAAGGTAGGGACCATTCATAAGCATTTTAGAGTAGTAGTTTTAGAGTAATATCATGGTTTAGATTGATTTTCGAAGGAACAACACAACATTTAAAGCTTTACTTATATCTTTATGATTACGTAGAGAAAGAAAGCTAAAACCATATCTTATCTTAGTAAAATCTCAGCGTTGTGGTTTTAGCCTTGGTGTTTGTGGAAGATTATAGGTAAAGGAACAATATTCCCACTGGAACAAGCATGAGAAGGCCCTAATCCTGGTCAAAGAGTCAGGTTTGTGGAGATGCAAGCCCAGTCACACTCAGAACGCATATGCATCTACCTTTTCAGTGTAATAAATGTGTCCAAAATTAAAAATATAGCTTATTTTTAGCAAAAAAGTGGCACTTTAAAGGGCCACTGAATAACTTCTTCAGGACAGGGTACCACCTTGTCTCTATGGGGATGGTCCATGGTTATTGGTTTGTCTGGAAGGTTATAGTAAAGCAATAAACTTTTCTATCTCTATGGAGACAAGCTGGTAAAATGCCACCAGGCCAAGACAGTGGTTGTATCTTTGAATAAGAGACCACAGTTCCAGTTAAATTGCATGTTTTTGTGTTTTGAGCAATAAAAACACTCATAATGAAACCAATTCTAGAGGGATACATTTAATGCAGTACTGTGGGACATTGTAGGTAACGCAATAACAGCTCCGTAGAGACAATCAAGCTGCAAACTCTCCCACCAGAAAAGTAAGAGACTAGTAGACTTTAGGTTTACTTTACTTTACTTTTTGGACATTCAATTCTATAAAGCTGGTTGCGTTATAGGTTTTTGTACTCCATATTTAGGCATGTGAAAGAAAGTTAACTATCTGGTAAATCAATTATTTCTTGGAGTCATTACAAAACTGTTACGACATTTCTTTCTCCAGGTGAGGAAAAGAGGAGTCGTCTCACCACAGGAGTTCCCACGTGTCCTGAGGATCTTTTACGAGACCCGACCAACAGGGGGCTCTGTACGCTGGACCCACGATCAGGGCAACAGGTCTGAGGTTTCATTCAGGTGCAGCTGAACTTGCACCATAAACTGTATATATAGTTACTTTATAAGACATTTTAAGACATCACTGCTTCTGTATCGGATTTACAGGTAATTCTTTAGTTTAGGTTAGAAGAAAGTTTGGTTGACCCGTTGCTTGTAAATTCTTTTGTGTCATTTACGAGGGATTACGTAATGTATGGCCAATAATACAATGCTACAGATTTATAATAAGAAAAAAAAAAAGTGGAATGCAAGTCCTTACAGTGCATGTGTTTCTACTTTTGTTGTAATATGATTCCAGATATTTTTGTTACTATAATAAAATATCTAGCTTCAACTGTTGCAGCTCAGGCCTCTTGAATGATAAAATCTATTTAAAATTGTTTACTGGGCTTATCTTACATTATTATTATTGTGTCATGCCACTGACATGATAACAATAATGTAAAATAATCCCAAAGTCGTTTCAGTATTATCGTTAGTATAGCTGTGTAGCAAAATGCCATGCTTCTATACAAAACTTTAGGGGCAGGAGTGCTACTTGGATATACAAAAATTGTGCAGAATTGTCCTTTTGGTGCTCTTCAGTGTAGGGACCAGTCTCAAATACAAAGTTGAAAAAACTGAGGCACTCAAAAAGTATAAAATAATAATTAAAAGTCTTTAATACAACATGGCAGATGAAGTTTAAATCACGCCAACATGTTTTGGCTCTTTGGCCTTCATCTGGGCAAACTGTGCTTCTATATTTGTTATTGTGAATATAAAAAATAAAATAAAATAAAGAGAGAATTGTTTACATTATGGTTTCCACAGTTGCAATTATGCCAACTCTACTGCCCATGTCCAACCAGTTCAGTTACACTTACACCAAAATTCTCAAACTAGAAAAAAAAATGTCTAAAAATCTTTGTTAAAGGTGCACTATATAACTTTTTGGTTGGCGGTCTGTCACCCGCTTCTTTCTTTGGATATGCCGTTGCTCTACCTGGAATGTTCCACAATACGACATTAAAGCTCTACCTTACATGTATTCAATTATCCAGGCTGGCGCCACCTAGTGCCTCCACTCAATTTCCTTTCTGTCCAGCAACTAGGTCAGGAATCGGAAAACACTAGACTAGACGGTTCGCAAAAACCCTGGAAGTGCAAGTTCGGGCACCAGCCAATCAGCAAAGAGTGATATATTCAGTGTGGTCAACGATTTTCGTGATCTAGGATTTAAAGCCGGAATAAAGATAATATTTGGTGAATTTCATCAAGGAGAAAGACGTTATTGCCCTTCTTCCTACGGGATTTGGAAAAAGTTTAATATACCAGTTAGCCCCATTAGCGGTGCATTACACACGTCACAACCAAATAGCAGTGATTGGTTAAATGATAAAAAGTACCCGCCTACTGTCGAGCGAACGAAATCTAAGGCTGTGAGGTTTGACGGTTTCTACAAAGTGAAACGAAGTAAACACGGGTGGTGAATCAGGCTAGTATTCAATTACAGGTGGTTTTACAGCTCAAAAATACCTAGAAAAGCAGGCATTCTCACCATGAACGGGGTCCTCTGTCCACAGATCTGACCTGTAACTTGGTCTAGGCTGGTCTCTATGAAGATAGAAAGGGTTACTGTGAAGCATTCCAGACAAAGTAATAACATCTATACGGAGAAAAGCATTTGACGCACCCTCTGTAACAGAAAAGTTATACAATGCACTTTTAAGTTTGATTTAGTGAACGGTTGTCTGTTAGTTTTCTAACTGTGCACTTTAACGTTTTCTTTTTCCCATGACTCAAGGACAGTACAATTCTAACTTATTAATCCATCACAAACAGACCTGAGGCAACTGTACTATTTTGTATGTCTCTTGTGTCGTGTATTGTGGCTTTCTTTGAGCGGTGAGTATTGTAGTATTATCTTTGTTTACCCTTGCAGGTCTTGTGTGTACACCGCTGGATCTCCCATCAACAACCGCGCGCTGTTTCCATGCCAGGAGCCGCCCGTTGCCATGTCGACGTGGCAGGCGCTGGTGAGGGCCCCTGCCGAGTGTGTGGTTCTGATGAGCGGAGAGGAGCAGGCGGTGCCCAAGCAGGAGTCTAGCACAGGTGAGGGATGCACAATTTGAGAAAAAAAATGTAATTGTTTCTTCTGTTAAGTATTGTTATTAGAGTTGCAATTTCTGTATTAAAAAATAAGATTCTGTTGCGAGCTTGTGATTGTTAACTGATTTGAGAGGGACTTGTTAAACAGCACAAATCAGCTCTTCTTTTGTCATTTCTTTGGGGTCAGATTCCGTAAAAAAAAAGCTCAGATTGTCTGTCTTTCAGGGGTGTAATGATACACAAAAATCACTGTTCGGTTCATACCTCGTTTTTGAGGTCACAGTTTGGTTCATTTTCGGTACAGTATGAGAACAAAATATGAAAGCATTTGCTAGTTGTTTATTTGTGTGTTTATTAAATCAACTACTTGTTTTAACATTATACAAACGGGAAAATAAAATAAATGCAAAGTGCTGCTTGGTAATACTAATAAGTGAAATATAAAAAAATCAATTCCTTGTGAACAGTAAACTAAACTTTTCAAAAAGTGAAGCGCAGCACCTACTGTCTGCAGTAAATGCAGATCTGCTGACAGGGAACAGGGGCGGGGCGAAGATTCTGTGCTGACGAAAGGTGAAAGTGAGGATCAGGGTGCGATAACTGTAGTTTTGCGATGATTCACGTGGTTCGATGGTTCGGAGGGACGTAGCCAAGGCGGCCACCCTAACTATAAAGCGCTGCGGGAAACACCAATCACGGACGAGTTCCCCTGTGAATATTAAATAGCCGAGCCTTCCATGTAGCTGCACATGTAGTGGTGGAATGTAAACACACACAAATTGCGTGAAGTCACTTGTGCACAGCCCTGCACCGAACCGAACGTCCCGTACCTAAACCGTTCGACACAAATACATGTACCGTTCCACCCTTACTATCTTGAGTAACAGAGCTTCAGACAGAGCAGTGTCCACACTTAGCCTCACACCTCCAGGAAATGTTGATCACATCCGCTCCGAAGTATCAAATGCATGTATCCAAGATGGTAGATTTCAATTACTTTTGCTAAGAAAGTTTCCAGTAAATCTATTAATCTTTTTAGCCGAGTCAGCCCACACATTGTAAACTTTTAATTAGTGCTTTCAAAATTACCTTACAACAGCTCTGCATGCACATTAGTCCTCTGAGAATTCACCTTAATCACTCCTCAGTTTAAAGGTGCACTTTGGAACTTTTCTGATGGGGGGTTTGTGATCTGCTTGTCTCCGTGGTATTTTCTGGTATGTTCCACAGTAGTGCATTTAACTTCTCTATCTTGCATTTGTTCAATTACAGGTGTTTTGTTGCTCAAAGATATACGTTGTTATTGTGGGCTTGGTTATTTATTTATCTTTATTTATGGAGAATGTTACAGTGTTGCTTTAATAGATTTTTTTCTTTGTGCCCAAGTGTTTTTGTCTCGCTCGCTCCCCCTGACAGTGCATTGTTCTGGTCTCTGCAGGCTTCTTAATCTGGTCTTATTATGTGACGATGCCCATGCCGGCCTCCACCTTGGCACTGGCAGTGGGCCATTGGCACCAGGTCTCTGTGGTCCGTCCCTGTGGATCAGATTCAGACAGAGAAGAGTCTCTGGACAAAACCGGGGACAAAACTGAGACTGGACCAGGAGAAGGCAGCAGTGATGTAGTGGACTCTGTGCTCCAAACTGACAGGTATTATGTGGCTTTTATGCATGAACTCAAATCCAGCCATCAGCATCTGTACAGTAGGGTCTAGTTGTGAAATGTAATGAAGTAAAAGTAGTATTTAAAAGTGGATACGTTTTACTTTGACTTCACTACATTTGAAAGTAGATATCTGTACTTTCTACTCCATTATCAGTCTCCAAAATGAAAAAGCTGGATCAGTGCATCTCTAATAATCGAACAGATGACACAACACAAGATTTGGTTTTCTATGACTGTTTCTCAATAGTTATTGCTGGAGTTAAATGATGACGTACTACTATTGGTCATGGTTTGACACTTCTCCATGTGATTTCCCAATTCAAAGAGTCCTGTTTATATGCATATCCAAATAATCTCTAAAAGAGATTCTCAAAAACAGGTGTTCAGTTGGAGAAAAGACTGGAGAAAACATTTCAGTAAAAATGTGTCATGAAATTTGTGGCGGTTTTGTTTTGTTTTGTTTTGTTTTTATGTCAACAGCCAGACTGCAATAAAGGCTTTATAATTTTTTCTAAAACCGCAGAGTACCTTGAATTTTTGTCTTTGGCGAGTTTGACTGACGCACATTCGGTAAATTGATTCAAATTGGAGAATGAACACCCCCTTCTGTTGCTATGAACAGACCCAAACTGTTTTCCTTTTAATAGTAGAGCTGATATAACACTAGTATCTAACAAATATGCTTCGTATGGTTTTATATTATATGTTTTTTACAGTAATTAAGCCAATTTTATTTCCTAAACAGAGCCAGATTCCCTAAACTTAAAGGTGCATCATGCAATTTTTCTGGTTGGAGGGTCTGCTTGTCTCTTGGTAATAGAGTATTAAACAAATATATCTTGTATTTATTCATTTCAGATGCTTATATTTCTCAAAACTACAGCAAAGGCATGCATTCTCACTGTAACTGGGCTCACTTCTCCACAGATTTGACCTGTAACTTGTCTGTGCTTGTCTCCATGAAGACAGTTAAATGCCGTACTATAAAACTTTCAAGAACAAACAGCAATATCTACATCGGTTCAAGGGGGTGGCGGATGCTCTACCAGAAATAGTGGACCTTTAACCTAAACTAACTAAAATTAAAACTTGGCCTTATTCATTACAATGTTCCTAAACTCCTAAAATCTTAACCAAGTTTGACAAAATAAAGGTTAAAAACTTTACAAATAAACTTAAAATGCCACTAAACCAAAGTTGCTAGAATAACTTTGACCAATCACAGCAGACCGTCCCTCCTGAGCGTATTACCTAGGACCAACCTTTTCCATCCTTACCATTTCATGAGTTTTACTTCTGCAGACTGCTATTAACCTGAGCTTTCTCCTCCAAATTCCACACTGAAAATTTCCTTTGCCCTCACCCAAAATAGACGAGAGGGATACGAATAAACCGGAGCACTCTATGTACTTTTACTGCTACATTAAAACTCTGAAACGTCAATTACATTCAATAGTGCATTTTTGAGTCTCGAGTTGCCGCCCCTATATATTTTATAGAGGTACAGAACGTAGAGTGCCAAGGAACATTAGAGCGGCCCTGCCCACATGGCCAGACCCGGGTTAAGCTCAGGTCTCAGGAGGTTGGCAGCTGCTGTGGTGGTTTCCAGTAAATCTCCTCCACCCTCACGGTTTTCCTCTGACAGAAGCTCCAACCTTTCTCCAACCCATTCTCCACCGCTGCTACCAAATGTCTTCCTGCACGACAGCCGCTTTATTTCCACTCAAAGTCTGGCAGGGGAGTTTCAATAGCACTGATTAAAGAATTTGACTTTGTTTTTTTCTATAAATCACAGAGGTTGTCTGCACCTCAGTGTTTCGGAGGTTACTGTGGTTTGCATTGGTGACGTAAATATATGGTTCCTTCTCTTCCATTTCCTTTACTGGCACTGACTTTAATGTAATAGCTGTAATATATTCTAACATGGGCTCCTACTGTTCCTCGTGAGTGGGCTTGTATCACCACAAATCCATGAAAATATAGTTTCTTTGACTGTAATAGTCCCACTGTATAGAATAAAATTGATCTCTATCTCTAGCTATATTGAGACATTTCCTGAGTGTGGTTTCTGTCAAATTGGTGACATGCTATCTTCATAAAATGACACTGTTGTTTAAATAAAATTCTTGTGAAATTAATTAATTAAACTTTTCAAATTTGTAAAAAAAAACAACAAAACAGTTACTAACTCTTAATTATAATGAACTCACTAGTATGTTTAAAAATATCGAATGCATTGACATGTGGGCATAATAGATTTAATTAAATATTGGATATAAAACAATACAGCAATATAAATACCAGCACCAGTATATACTGTCCACTGCAAATCATATACCACATTCTATACCGTATTTTTCAGACTATAAGTTGCTTCGGAGTATAAATCCCACAAGCCAAAAATACGTAATGAAGAAGAAAAAAAAATATTTAAGTTGCACTTTTTGGGGGAAATTTATTTGATAAAATCAGAGACCAGGAATCGACATTTCATCTTGAAAGGCAAGTTATAGTAAAAACAATAGAACAGAGAACAACGTCACGTATGAACATTTCTTCAAATAACTATAGCATAAACAACAGAACATAAGTTTAGCTGCCGCTTCCTCTTCTGCGTAGCTGTCGTCAGACTCAGCATCAGTTCCAGATAATATTATTCCGGCCTTTCTGAATCCCAACAGGATGGTTTTGGTTGTCTATGAAGTCCAGGTTTTTTGTCGATCCATCCAGTGACTTCTAGGAAAGTTTTATGGCTATGGTGAAGCTTTGTTCTCCATTCCCGCTTTCCCTCACAAGTTTCTCACTCACCCCAAACTTACTTTCTGCTGCTCGATTACTGTTTTCGGCTGCATATTTTGCTACTTGCAGCAGGACAGCGGCTCTTTCTGCAGGAGACATGCGCAGTAGAGTGAAGTGACAGTGGTACAGGAGTAATAGGAGTAGCAGATACTGGCACACAAGCCTCTCTCACGGCTGTCAGTGTGAAAATTTTAATATATACGTCACACCGGAGTATAAGTCGCAGGACCACCCAAACCATGAAAAAAAGTGTGACTTATAGTTATCAAAAAATACAATAATTAATTGTCGACTAGTTTTCGTCACAGGATCTGGCAGTTCTATCTGCTTTCAATTTCTGTTAGTAAATAAACATAACATTGTCAGTAAAATCAATACACTATTTAGCAGTCAATATCCCATACACACATACCACCTTTTCACAACACATAGACGCTCACTTTGACTTTTTCTCTTGTTGAAACCTTCAAAAAGAACACTCAATGCGTTGTGATTATTAACCTCGGATTAAACCTTTCTAATCTTCCACAGTGGTCACCGGACCACCCGCTCAGACCTCGCATTCTGCCACTCTTCCCTGGAGAACGCAGAGCCAACGCCAACCGATTATACAGGCCCAGCGGATGACGGCATCTCCTGTTCCCATGGCGACTACCCCTGCCGATTCACAGAGCAGCGGGCCATGTCCCAGCGGGTGATTCCACACCGCGTGTTTGCCCCCGTCTGCCTCCTGCAAGAAGCCCAGGTACTGAGCAGAAAATGGAGGAATTATTTATTGAAGGAAAACATTTTATTACACATGATGGTATCGTGATTACAAAGTGCATGTGTGTTTATACTATCTGTGCTCTTAACAACATTTTTAATCAAATAGACATGCTCTCATTTCAAATCTTCAATGGTCAGCTTGGGTCTTTGGGTGTTTAGCTGATCCTCAAAACATGTGGTTTGGAGCAGAGTTTAGTCTTTAGGAGGAATACATTTTACGATTTCTTGTCTATGTTCATGAAATTAATATCGAAAGACTATGTATGAGTTTAAGAAAAAATTTAAGTTAAAAAAATCACACATTGTAAATCCTATTTTACACAATATTGATTCTTGCAATCTTTAAGCCATGTTAGAATGTTGTTACCTCATCAAAAACATACCTGGAGTTGTGTTTTGTTTCATTCACACATGTTTGAGTAATTCTTTATTAGTGTTTCTCCAAAGCTTAAAATGCTCTTTGTGATGTTATAAAGTGGTAACAGCTAATTTTTACCTTTTTATTTCAGTAGAGATTGGCAATTCCAGGGCTGAAATTATCTAAATGATTCTAGTTGAGGTGTATGGACTTTCAAAACACATTGGAGCACTTCCTGTATTATCACATGACATCACAAGGTGGAACAGAGTGTTTTTTTTTGTCTAATATGCAAGATTTGTGTGTTAAACGTTTAAATGAAACAACACAACTTAGTCATATTTTTGATGAGAAATCAACATTATAACATAGATTACAAAATATCATAGTATGAGCGTGATTCATTATTTTGCCATATCACTTTTGGTATCTCAAATGTAAGGTTCACAACATTATAAATCGATAAGTGATCTATGGATATTCTAACTTTATTTTATTGGCTTGTGCCAGTAATTCAAGGGCTATTTTTGTAAACTATCTCAATTTTGAGGGCTTATACATCGACGAAAAGTCCCCAAACCGGTATCAGATCGACCAGTCCACTGAAAAATTTTATAAAACGGGCATCACGACAATGTCCAAAGTGACCCCACTCAACAGCGCCCCCTTGAAAATTCAAATTTTTAAATGAACTGGAGGCTGAGACGCATATTTTAGTGTAGGTTTACCAAATTTGGAACAGTAATAGAACTCCCGGAGATAAGCAAAAAAGCCAATCATCGTGCTTTTCTATGACGAACATGAAGTCGGCCATATTGGATCAAAAATTCACCACCGTTTTGACTTGCTTGTCTGCAAAAAGCTTCTAGTTATATTTTGTTATTATATCTTGTACTTTTTTTAACAGAAAAAACTAAATCCTCTTCATGCTGAACCTTAATATTTTTTTATTTGGGATTAGGTATATTTATCTTGTAGCTCTAAGGCCTTTCAATTAACAGCAGTTGTGCCTGTGTGTAACGATAATGCTACCAATTAATCATCATTTTGTCCTAGTCTATTTCTGCTCACCGAGAAGATATTGAAATCCAAACCAGTTTTTGTTTCATGTCGAATAAACCAAGTAATTACAGAGATATTATTATAACAGCAAATTCTACAATATTATTCCTACCCTCCAGCTGAACATTTGGGCAGATGAAGTCTCCTAACCCAACCTGTTACTGAGGGGGAATTGCTGTGATTTTCTTTCATATAAAACATTAAGATGATCCTTTTGTTTTTCGCTGTAGCTGGTCTTAAACCTCCTGCCTCGGTGTTTGGCTGCTGCTCACTCTGTTCTGGGAGTTCATCCATTTCCTCGCCTTGATGTTCTCATTGTCCCCGCTGGGTTCTCCAGTCTGGGCATGGCCAGGTAAACACACACACATACACACGTACAAATACATACACACACACACACACATACACATACGCACACGCACGACACTATGAATCCCAGATGGAAAGGCCTCTGATGCCCTTCTATGGAACATTCCACGCAAAACAATAATATCTCCTTTGAGACAAACAGTTAGTAGACCTAAAACAAAAGTAGTGACACGTTGAGTAATTATCGACACTGTGCTTTTTGTTTTTATTCTTAAATAAATTGTAATACTGTATGTCTGTGTTAGATGGGAGTTGTCTGTGTAATCCCTCAGTCGTCCAGGTATGATTTGAATCCATAAAGGTTATAGAATGAAGATGTTTCGCTGCTTATCAGAGTGGCTTTTCCAATTCTGGTTAGATTGCCGGTGGACACTGCCTTATATCTGTCTGAAGCATAAACTGTATATATAAATGGTAATGATGGGCGAATGGAGCCTCGTGAAGCATTGACACCTCAGTGGCAATATTGTCTCAAATGGTTCGACGTGTCTGAGGCCTTGGAGAAACACTGACCTCTAGTGGACAAATTTAACCATTGTCACGCAGGTGTCTCAGTAATTGTCAAGTATTGTTAGTGTAAGACAATACTTGTGTGCAGAGCAGACACCGAACCTAACAACAACAATAATAATGATGATTTAAAATAATATGTAAAGAGCAACATAAATAGCAGCTGTAAATAAGAAAATAGGTGTTTCCTTGTTAGGTGGAATTAGTTCAAAGTGATCCCAAACCATGGATCGCATTTTTCCACTTGTAGATGCCATCGAAAATGAAACAAATGCCAAAAGTCACCAAAATCACCACTAACGTCACACAATACTCCTCACTACCCAAAATTTTTAAGAAATATTGGTGCATCTTTTATACTGTAGCAGTTTAGCGCTTGTCAAACCATGGAAGTGCGCTGAACACTCTGACGCACTCTGAACCAATCGCAGAGCGGAACATTCGCTGAGCCAATGAAACGCTTCGATACACTGAAGCGATCGACACGCAGAGCGAAGCAGTAGAGGGAGGGACCGACACTTCCACACTTTGGTCACGTGAGCGGCTGCTGCGAGACGAGCTCCAAGGCAGTGCTTCTCATTTGCCCATCACTAATAAATGGACATAGCTAACGCACTAGCTGCTGTGTTTCAAAAAGGAAGTTGGCAGGCGGCTCTTCCGGCTCCTTCTGACTCTGGCTCCCATTGACTTACATTGGAATATTGCTGTTCCTCTCTTTGTAACTGCTGCTGGGAGCCTCGTCATTTTGGTCTCAAAATGTTCATATTAACCCGCTCTACATGATCCTGTTGGGATTTTTTTTTTTGTTTTGTCTTTTCAAAAAAATCCTATTCATCATCTAGAGCGGGAGTCTCCAACCTGTCGCTCTCCACCCCCTTCCCAGTAGCTCGGCAAGGGATTTTTGAATTCTATGTATTGTGGATAATAAGTAAAATTCGATTATTTATCATTGTAAATATCATAATTTTGATGCCTAACTTGGTGCACCGATAAAAGGATAATGGTTTATGTTTTATAAGCATCTAACTGTTCCCATCTAAGGCCGTGTCTCTTATATTTACCCAGTTTCTTTCTGACTACTGAAATTGGTAGCTCTCTGGCATTTTTGTTTCATTAAGGTAGCTCACTGGAGAAAAAAAAGGTTGGAGACCCCTGATATAAAGCCTGGCTCCAGATTCGCTCCTGTAACCGTTAGCATCACGCTCTTCATTTAAGTGACACTGAACGCTGTGGGTGGCGTCACACTTGCTTAATCCACTTTTTTGTACAGCCTGTGGTCTGAAGGGAGGAGTTAACTACAATGAAACTAACATTATGAAGCACCTTGAGGACTCACAAAATGAAATTATAAATGTTTTAATAATGCCTGAGCAGAGCAGTGTCAGGTACACCTCTGAAAACTGGAGGCACTGGAGGAGATGCTTAAATTGACTATAGAGTATTATTATTGTTGTGTTTGTCTGTATGTTGCTCTATACAGACCCCCTGGAGTCTGAAAATAAAGCTTGATTGACACTCATTTGTTTTCATTTTGGATGAGCGTCAAAACGTCTTCATTCTGAAACACTTACCCAGTTGACAGATTCAAATTTTTCTTTCTCTGTGTTATGTGTTTTACAGTTAAGTTCCCTATAGCTTTGCCCTTTTGACGATCTTATGTAGCCTCTTCCAGGGAATTCCCTTGATGTAATCTCTGGATTGACCACAGCTAATCTGTCCTCAAAAAGACTAAGTAGTTGAAACCCCTAAACCAAACACACAGTAGACAAGAGCCCTTTCAAGTTGCTCTTTCTTTGACTGTCCCGCCCCCACCCCTGACATTTTGGGATTTTTTTTCTACCCCCACCCCTTCCTTCATCTTTCTTCCGTAACGCTGCCCCTCCCTGATCCCTGTTCCAAGACTCACAGCTTCTTTTCCATACAAAACAACTTAATTCCTCCACCATCCTGCTTCTGCTCTCTAGGCCTGTCAAATTAATTACTAAACGGACTCATTGATACATGTCTTGGTTGAGGTTGCACAGAATCACCCGCGAATGTGCAGCCATATCACTTTATATCTTTGCTTTAGTTTTATCAGCTCTTTTTGCAGCATTTGAAGGGCCCATCTCATGCAAAATCAACTTTTCGGAGCTTTCTACCTTCTAAGAGTGATGTGTGGGCCTTGTATATGTAGCTGAAGTGGTTTTTAGATTGATTCGGCATTTTTTTTTTACAAATTGCTGCGTATGTCTGCCACCCTCCCACGTGACAATGAACTAAAGCTGCTACAACGATGACGTGGCCAGCTACACCTTTGACATAGCAGAAGGCAGTTCGCAACCCCCCGCACCACCTCCGCCCCGCCTCCGTGTATTGTGTACACGATATAATAAGTTTATCTACTAGTGTTTATTAATACTTTACCTATCAGTAAGGTTCAGCTGATGCCGACACGGTGCTTGCGCTTCGTGCTCCTCCAAGTCCTCGTCCGATTCTGGGTCCAACACATGCGGCTGAACGTGCTGTATCGCCATGATGGATAAAAGTTTATTCCTACCGCTATCAGGGTGCACGTCTGTCTCCCCCTCCCTCCCTGAGATGGGTGGAGGAGCCTGTGCTTTCTCAGGACAGGTGGGGGGGTGAGCAATATTTGGCATTTCATAGTTCCTGGTCTGTGACGCCTCCAAGAAATCAGTAAGATTTCATAACTATTGTGTAATGGATGTTCCAAAACCCAAATTGTGCTTGTATATGTGCAGAAGATACAATGTGAAAAGAGTTATTTTGCATGAGATGAGTTCTTTAAATGTACTTTTCTGGTGGAGGGTCCGCTACCTACTTGTCCATGGAGGAGATGTTATTGCTTTGCTTGTAATATTCTCTGGTATGACATTAAACATATAAATCAGCATGTATTCATTACGGGTGTTTAATTTCTTCTGTGAATAGGGACAACTCTCCACACATCTGAACTGTAATGTAGCATCGTGCTGTAACCTGCTTGTCTCCCCCATGATATGTAGGTTTAATCTATACTGTGGAACATTGCAAGCAAAGCAATAACATTTCCATGGAGACAAAACAGACAATGTACCTGATATTCTAATTTAGCAGATTTCCGAAACAACAACTGTGATATGAATGTTTTTAATACAGTCATTTTCATTGTGTATTTATTTATTTTTTGCAGTATGTTAACTTTAAAGCTCATATAAAGTTAGATTAGCTGATGTGGCCCTGTTGTATTTTCACATATTTCTGTGTTACTGCTAATAGTGTGCCATAGGGATGTAACAATCACCGAAATATTGTGATATCGTATCATCAAAGTTCTCATAATAATATCGTGGACAATCACAATATATCGAATTACAAGTTTCTTTGCTTAAATTAAGAGTTGTGGTGCAGCAATAGCTAAAAAAAAAAACAGAGGGAACTACATAGACCATGATCCTTTGCTCCATTTCAATGCAGACTACAAGAAGAAATAACAGTTCTAAGCATTTTTAAGTCTTAGTTCTTTGGATCAAGTCTTGTCAAGGCATTTTAAGAGGAAAAAGTAGCAGATTAACAGTTTTGTTAACCTCCACAAAATATCTCAATAAATATCGTACTATGAGATGTAAGGCTGGGCATCATTAAGACTTTGCCGATACATAGGCCACAATATGATACATATCTCGATACAATGCACTTTCAATATGATACGATATATGTCAAATCAATTCGATACGGTTCAATAAAAATAAAGTCTAAATCATGGCTGTGATACTAAAAGTCTTTGTTAAACCACTTTTTGTGCAAAGTTCATGTGAAACACACACATTTTAATCATCAAAACAGTGAAAATGTGAAGCGTGTTGCATAAACAAGTTTCTTTCTACTAAACAAGCAACAAAACTGTAGCGCTGTAACAAAATAATTTAGTAAAATATACCAAAAAATACTCTTGGCAATATATCGATACAGTAGCCCATGATATCGATATTGTATCATCACATTAAACAATACTATATATTGATATTTTGATATTTTTGCACACCCCTAGTGAGATGTATATTGTGAAAATATCGTAAAGAGAGATTTGGATATTGTTACATCCCTAATTGTGAGCCTCATATCGGGATGTAACAATAACCGAAATATTGTGATATCGTATCGTCAAATTTCTCACAATAATATCATGAACCATCACAATATATCGAATTGCAAGTGTCTTTGCTTAAATTAAGAGTTATGGTGCAGCAATAACAAAAAAACAAAAAAAAGACAGAGGGAACTACATAGACCAGGGGTGGGCAAACTGCGGCCCTTTAACCTTTTTAATCCGGCCCGCCAAACTTGAATAATAGTAATAATAATAATTTTCGGTGTTTTTGTTGTAGTCAATAAATAGTAAATACCATGGGACTTGAATGACAGATATTTTGTTGTAATGCTTTGTAATGATTTTCAATTATGGGATATTTCAAGAAGAGCCCATTCGTCAAA